CCGCCTCCCTGCTCCTCTGATGCTGCTTGGCCTGCTGTGTTCATCCAGCTCTACACCTTGTTATCTCACCATAATAGATGTTGTGGTCATTACCCCTGTGCTGTCTGTGGGAGTTGCTGTATGCCAATTGTCTGCTGTGTTTCCAACAGTGACTACACTTTGTACCACATGGGTGTGTGATATTATATATTACACATGTATATATTTTCTGTTTGAAGTTTAAATTAGTGGCAAATTGATGGTGATTTATTTTTGAGAAGGGGTTTAAAAATTAATTAAGAATGCATGAGTGGACAAAAAGTTGGCAGATGGATGCACTTTTCCAAGAAGCATAGAAAAGTAGAATATTATTGAAATGAAGAGAAACCACAGAATGCAGCAGTATGAGAGATGGGTATCCGAGTACATGAATACAAAGAATCAGGATACAAGAGAATGCTTTCATTGCAGGAAGGATGAAGTATAAAAGGCAGGAAGGTCTTGCTACAACTATATAGAATATGGTGAGACCATTTACAGTTTGTGTACAGTAGTGCATACAGTTTTGGTCTCATTACTTACAAAGGGATATACTCGCATTGGAGGTAGTTCTGAGAAATTTAACTTGGAAAATTCCTGGGATGAAGGGATTGTCTTACGAGGAAGTGTTGAGCAGGTCGGTCCTTTGTTCATTATAGTTTAAAGAATGTGAGTTGATCTTATTGAAAGATAAAGTTCTGACTAAGCTTAACAGGACAGATCATGACAAGGGGTTTCCCCTTGTTGGGGGAAATCTAAAACTGGGGATCAGGGATCTTGTGGTGCACTGGTTGCATCCTTACCCCAGGACCTGCAGAACTTAAACCTGCATTTAAGTCCCACCTGGTCCAGAGGTGTGTAAGTGTCTCCGCAGGCTGATTATAAAAAGAACTTGCAGTCACTATTGCGAAATAATGAGCCTTCCATTTAATGATGGAGATGAGGAAGAATTTCTTCCTTGAGGGTTGTCAGTATTTGGAATTTCTCTCTCAGTGAGCACTGTGGCCAGATCATTGAATATATTTAATGCTGAGTTAGATTGTTGTTTGTCAAGAGAGTCAAAGGATGTAGGGGCAGGTAGGAAAGTTGAGCAAAAGCCACATCAGATCAGTCATGACCTTATTGACTAGCAAAGCAGGGTCATTGGCTGAATGGCCTTTCCCTGCTCCTGTTTCTCATGTTTTACCTTGACTTTCATTTGATTGTTTAACACTGTGTGCTTCACGACAGGACCATTTGCTGTCCAACTGGGTATTTGTTGTTCAGCTAAGAACGCCACATAAACACATTTTGTGGCCGCTGTCTTCCCTTTATATTCCTAAATTCTGCAATCTTAAAGTTATAAATTCAGGCTTCTTTTGACACATCGGTGGCGCACTTAGCACTGAGGCAGGCGACCCAGGGTTCAAGTCCCACCTGCTCCGGGTGTGTGCAGAAACATCTCTGGACAGGTTAGTTTGGAAAATATCGAAATTCTGTCTGAATTCAAAACAACCTCGAATGGTGTCTGCCCCCAAACCAGGAACAAAAAAAAGAACCAGCAGTTTTTAAAAGAGCTGTTCTCTTTACGACCTTGTCCCGGTTTAGCCCTTAGCCAGTTATTCTGGGTAAAGTCTGTAATGTTTTACAGCACCGAGCGGTGAGACACGCCTCTTTCTACCCGACAGCTCACCATTAGTCCGGGTGACTTTTTTTTAAAGTGTTTGTTTTGTTTTCGATTTTTCGAATGTAGTTATTGTAATGTAACCGTGCATTTTGCGGATTTGTGCAGGGGACAGCACCATGGGAAGAGAGGAGAACCTCACCAGAATTGCAAAAAAGCTGGATAAAATGGTATCGAGGAAGAGTATGGTAAGGTTAATCAGCTCGAAGAGCAAGGCGACAGTGTGAAAATAATTAGAAGTTGGTAAACTCCAGGCCGGGAGAGTTGGTTTCTGAAGTTTGAAAACAGATTTGCACTTTAATTAAAATTCCGTCACTTTTGAGTGACCGGGGGCAGTTTTGTCGACGTGCCTAAGCGGGTAAAAGTCTGCACAACTTATATTCAGGGGTTAGCTCGATTTGTCAAGCAGGTGATCTGGTTATAACCGCAGTCTCCCATGTTACTGGGATCTTCCTGTGCCTTCTGGCCAGCTAATGCCCCGCGCACCCCCCTCCCCTTCCCTTTAAAACAAAAACGCCACATTCCACCCTTGGACTTTCTTTTTAAAGAAACGTAAACGAAACTGAGAGTCTCCATAGTTCGCCAAATGTGCAAACGCCGCCTTGTGACCTAGCCAGGGATATTTTTACATGTGAATATCCTTACCTCACCTTTCTTCCTTCCCCACCCCAGTCTCCGTCCTCTCCACCTACCCTCTTCCTCGCTCCTATTCACCCGACACCCCTCCTTTCCAAACCCCATCAGATTGTTATGATGTGGGCTGTATGTTTCAAAGTGGAATTAGATGTGCACGTTAAAGAAGCAGTACTGACGGGGTTGGCCATGGAACTGGATAGCCCTTCCCGAAGCCCGTCATAGACACAATGGGCTGAGTAGCCTACTTGGGTGCAGTATGACTTTAGAATCCAAGCAGGTTTGCACTGTGGTGGGAGAAGTAAGGCTTGTAAAGTAATGGGTTGGAATGTGGAACCCGAAAAGACACACTTTTAAGAGTTCAATGCACCCTTTAGATCATAGAATCCCTGCAGTGTGGAAACAGGCCCTTTGGCCCATCAAGTCCACACTGAACCTCAGAGCATCCCACCCTGACCCATCCCCCTGTAACCCACCTAAGCTACACATCCCTGAACACTACGGGCAATTTAGCATGGCCAGTTTACCTGGCCTGCACATCTTTGGACTGTGGGAGAAAACCTGAGCACCTGGAGAATGTGCAAACTCCATACAGACAGTTGCCCGAGGGTGGAATTGAACCCAGGTTGCTGGTGCTGTGAGGCAGCAGTGCTAACCACTGAGCCACTGTGCCATGGATAGGCTAGGGCTTTTATTTTACTGGGGTGTGGGAGGTTGAGGGGTGACCTTTATAGAGGTTTATAAAATCTTGAGGGGTATAGATAAGATGATTGGCAGGTGTCTTTTCCCTAAGGTGAGGGATTTCAAGACTAGTGGGCATATATTTAACCTGAGAGGCTCAAGATTTAAAAAAGACATGAGGGGCCTTTTTTTTTATACAGAGTGGTTTGTGTGTAGGCTGAACTTCCAGAGGAATTGGTGGATGTGGGTACAGTTACAATGTTTAAAAGACATTTAGACAAGTACATGAATAAGAAAGGATATTGACCAAGCGTAGGCAGATAGGATTAGTTTAGTTTGGGATTATGGACGGCATGGACTGGTTGGACCAAAGGGTCTGTTTCCGTGCTGTAAGACTCTATAACTCTCCATTGTGTGCTTTACAATATTTTGTAGATGTTCAACATTGACAGCCAATGAACAGTTGTACTCATTTAAAAAAAAAAATCACAGGCTGCCAGAATTTTATAATAAAAAATCACTCTGATTTTATTTAAATCTGAATAGGATGGTGCTCTGGATCTGCTCCAGGAACTGCAAGGCGTGAAGATGACTCTGAAGTTGTTGCAGGTAACTTAATGATACAAAAAACTGCCAAATGACCATTGCCTGAGTTTCTATGGGAGGAGCCCTGGGCTGACTCTGCAGTAATCACCTAAATCCATTCCTGCCTCAACTTATCCGCTGTTGAAACAGTCCTATTGTGCATTGCAACTTCCACAACTATTTCATTCCTTACTTGGCTGACCTCTCATTGTATCTTCTGTAATCTTGATCTCACTGGTTTAAAAAAAAATCTGTTGTCCAGATGTTAACTTATACCAAGTCCTGCTCACTCACCATCACTCTGCTCACTGACCTATATTGGCTCCTGGATTGGCAAAACCTCGATTTTAAAATTCTCATCCTTGTTTTATAATGCCCCTCGCCCTCTCTCACCACCACCCGAATGGACTTGCTGCCTCTCTATCTCTGTCACCTGGATTCCCTCTCTGAATCTTAATGCCTCTCTCTTTCTGTTTCCATTTTAATTTGTGCCTTAAAGGTTTTTGGCTGTCTGTTCTAATCATCTTCAGGGATTTGGTGTCAGTTCTTCTGATAATGCACCTGTAATTTGCCCTAGGGTGTTTTTATTTCTTAATGCAAGTTGCCGTTTAAAGATATAACTTCTTTTCTGGATGTAGCTGCGTCTTTCCTTATTGCTCAGTGACTAAAGACTGTTCAGTTGGAATTGAAGTCATGTGGACACCAGGATGTTTCCAGGTGTTAATCCTGGGATTGCAGTAGGAGGTACTGTGTTCATCTTGGTGCCCTGGGCTGTGGCGAGGAAGTAGAAGTACTGACCTTGGTGCTGATTCTGACCCAGTGCTGGGGGATGTGTGGCCTTCAGAGGTGGACAAGATCAGAGCACGTCCTGAGATTATGATGGATGGCAGAAAGCTTTCCCCGTCTCATTCCCACAATCAGCGCACCACGGCAAGACATTGCCATGATCCAGTTCTCCAGCTTTTTGTCACCATCACATTCAATCAAATAGACTGACAGAAACAGGCTATTTGACTCAACTAGTTTGTGTTGTTGTTCAGATTCTGCAGGAGTTTTGCTCTGTTCCATCTATCTCCCCTCAGTCTTCCAGCATGTTTTTGCATCCCCACTTTCTCTACTGTACTCGTTGAGTTTACTTTTTGAAGGGAAAATAGATGTCAGATAACGAAAAAAAAAGCTTTGACACAGATAATTGCCAGCCATGTGGATTTAAACTTGGCTTCAAAGTCTGGCAATGTGAAACATAAGGCTGCGGCAAAATTAGTTTCAATGCTACATTCTGCAGCGTCCAATTGCTTTAATGATGAAGACAAACTGTACATGGCTAAGAGTTGGATTCCTGGCTAAATTTCTAATGGGAAAATATTCAAATTCATTCTTCAAACAGTTGTTTGATATTATAGAACTTGAGTATTGTTTATAAAAAAAGACATATATTTTATCTTGCATTCAATTTTTCTCGTGAATTGTCTTGATGAGTTGCTTTTCCAGCAATGTTCAAATTGTATATAATGCTCCCCATATTGTCAGGAGGACCCTCCATGCTGTCTCATGGTTAAGCAGTTGTTTTAAATTCATATAAACATATAATCATAAAAGTTTACAGCAAGGAAGAAGGCGATTCAGCTCATTGTGTTCATGCCAGTTGACAAGAAACCATCCAGTTTGTAATTGCGGTTAATTATGTAAAATTCCTGGGTGTACTAAATAAAAACACAACAGGCATTACTATAGCAGACTAAATCCAGTTCTAGCTATACCTATAACTGACTTTCCCTTCCTGGCTCTCGCTTACCAAAATCTCGTTTATTGCACATAAACTGATCTTTTGTTGCTTAGGTTAAATTTATCAATCACACTTGATTTGTTATTGGAATTTTTGGTTGAGATCAGTGAATCTTCTCGACTTTGGGAAGTATGGAATGTGTGGGAGAGAAATATGGATGTAGAGTATACAATAATGCTAAATAAAATGAAGTGTGTAAAGATGGAAACAGTTAAGCAGTTGATTCTTGGGCAGGCTCCCATTCCATATTGCTAACGTGTTCACTTCCCACTTGGAAGCTGCAGAACTTTCAATTCTAGCAAAACCTGATCTGATAAACACATTTTTATTTTGCTGACTGTAATGTTTCTGAAGAGCAATAAATTTAGATATTAATCCTCAATTAAACACACAAATTCACAACTTAACATAGTGAGAAATCTCTTCAACAGCCAGCAATAACTGTTGTAGGAATTAGTAAGATTCACAAAAGGTGCAGGAGAAGCTGCACTTGTAAGGTTGAGGGTAAAGTTAGTTAATCATGGTGCAGTGCAGTGTAATTTTTAACCAGCGTTACCTTTTGTTGACCTGAGTTCAGACAGAATGCAAATAAAGTGTAAACTTTTCCAGTCTTGGTTCTTAATAAAGGCATTTCCAACTCTGCCACTTTCCTCCCACCAATGCCTATTCTTAAAAAACTTTAAATTGCAAAATGTGAAGGATTGATACAGGGACTGAAATGAATTGGCAGAGATTAGTATTGAGAACAGAATGCTGCCGGCCAAAAGCTTTATAAAGTTGGCTCAGTAAAGCCTAAAACCATAGATGAAAGAAATGCTTCTGCAGCTGAATGAAAGTGATTCTCTGTTTGTAAAAATCTGCATCGCATTCTCAGTACCAGAGACATGTACCAGTGATAGGTAAGGTGCACCTGGGACGTGATGACCTAGTGGTATTATTGTTGAACTGTTAAGCCAGAGACCCAAGTAATGTTCTAGGGAGCCGGTTTCAAATCCCGCCAGTACAGATGAATTTGAATTTAATAAAAATCTGGAATTAAGAGTCTAATGATGGTCATCAATCAATTGTCGGACAAACCTGTCTGATGTCCTTCAGGAAGGGAAGCTGCCATCCTTACCTGGTCTGGCCTTCGTGTGACTCCATACCCGCAGCAATGTGGTTGACTCTTAATGGCAATTAGGGTTGGGCAATAAATGCTGGCCTGGCCAGTGATGCTCCAACCCCCAAAAAAAAGACTGAAAGAAAAGCCCCTGGAACTTTGCAGACATCTGAATTCATGTTCTTCTGGGTTGGTAATAAATACAGCTAACAGGTTGATACGTTAATCTCAACAACAATTCCAAATAATGTCCTTGAGGGTGTTGTCAATGCTCCAGGATGACCCTGGAATCTTCAGGAATTGAAGATTAATCTCCTGGACACTGCTGAAAGTGAATCCAAGTAGAACATTTATAAGGTTGTTTAATAAAAAATACTTGTTTTTGATATGTGATTTAATATTTTTTAATTTATTGGATGTATTTTGGTGATAAGGAAGGCTGACCAAGCTGGCAGCCTGTTGGCGACAAAAGTCGATAACCCTATCTTGTACGTGTAATTGCTGTTTGTATAGCAAAGTGCATTTAGTTGGTTTGCTGAATGCAGTTTAACAAACTTCTGTTTTAATTCAACATATCGCCGTTGCATCTTCCACAATGTCAGTGAAATTCCTGTGTGTTAGGTGAGGACTGCTCGAGTTCTTCCAATTGAGTTAGACTTCCCTCTTTATCGTTTACCAGAATACAAGAGTTGGGATGTCTGTAAATGCAATCCGTAAACACAGCACGGATGAACAAGTCATTGCATTAGCTAAAATCCTCATCAAAAACTGGAAAAAGCTTCTTGGTAAGTGCAGAAACTCATCTGTTAAAGGTGTATTTTATCTATAAAGAAAACAAATGGGAGTGCCCTTTATCCATTGCCTAGATTCGTACAACTAGTCACAGTAATATGTTACTGACTGAGGATTCAGATTAGAACACTAAAAACAAGAAGTAATGCACATCAGTCTTGTGTTTAATCGCTAAATGTGTGTGGATTTAATGAGGTCCTGTAAAGATGGCTTCTGAAGGCCATGGCTCACTGCCTTTGAATGAGGAGGTCATGCTACAAGTCTCATTCCAATGCAGAAAATCTGCGCTGACACTTCAGCATGCTGCACAGCTTGGGATCCTTTCTTAAGGAGAAGTCAATAAACTAAGACCCTGTTTGCCCTCTCAGTTGATTCAAAAAAATAGCTTATGGGAAGTAGGTCAGCATTTATTGCCTATGCTTAATTGATGCTGAATAGTGCTGAGCTGCCTTCTTGAATTGCTGCAGTTCTTGAGGTGTAGGGAGACCCATATGGGTGTTAGGAAGGGAGTTCTAGGATTTTTGACCCAGCAGTGCTGAAGGAACGTTGAGATAGTTTTAAGGTGGGGATGAGGTGGGGGATGGGGGAGGTGGTGTTGGTGGAGGAGGAGGAGGGTATGAGGTGTTGGGGGCCAGGGTGTGATAGAATCTTGCAGCTGGTGGTTTTCCCATGTGTTTGCTGTCCTTGTCTTTCTAGAGATCATGGGTTTGGGGTACACAATGGTATGAGATGGTACACACTGCTATCATTGTGCATCTGTGGTGAAGTGAGTGAATGTGGAAGCTGGTGAATGGGGTGTCAGTCAAGTTGCTTGCTTTATCATGGATAGTGCTGAATTTCTTGGGTATTGTTGGAGCAACACCATCCAGGCAACTGGAGGGTATTCCAACAGCGATCCATGCCTAGAACAACATGGACAGGCTTTAGCATGACAGGAGATTGATTGATTACTCACTGTAGATTTCATAGTCTTTCACCTACTTTTGTCGCACAATATTTATATGGCTGTTCCAGTTTAGTTTCTGATCAACGGTAACCCCCGGGATATTGATAATGATGGAATTCTGTAATAGTAATACCATTGAATGTTACACTGAGATGTTCAGATTCTCTCTTGTTGGAGATAGTCATGCCTGTCACTTGTGTGGTGTGAATCTTACTTGTCATTTGTCAGCCCAAGCCTGGATGTTTGTTTGTATTAAAGATCCTATGGCACTGTTTTGAAGAAGAGTAGAGGAATTGCCCTCCCTATGGTGGCCAATATTTGTCCCTCAACTTCACTAAAACAATTCATCTGCTCAAATGGTTGCTGTGTTATCCACAGCAGACTTCAGATGGATAATTTCAGGATGTTCCAAAGTTCTTTACGGGCAATGAATTAGTTTTTAGTGTTGTATTATAGGAAAGGAGGTTTCCAGTTTTGCATTGGGCTAGGTCCTGTAAACTACAGTGTGACAGTGAACAAAGATTTTTTTTTTTAGTGCTGATTGAATGCATTAATGAGGAATGTTCAATTATTTCATGAAAAATTTAGCCAAAGTGTGATCTCATGAGTTCACACGAATGTTGAAGATTCCATTGCGTTATTCAAAGAAATATAAACATTTTTTTCAACTGACCTGGCCAATGTTCTTCCCTGTCTCACTATTCATTTCACTGTTCTTTGCAATTACATTACTATGTGAAAAATTGAATGGGTATAAAAACAATTAATGCAGATCAGAGTCACTTATTGTATGTAAGCAGTTTCGAAGAAGGATCGATAGACTTGAAATGTTAGTTTTGATTTCTCTCCACAGATGCTGCCAGACCTGTGGAGTTTCTCCAGCAATTTCTGTTTTTGTTTCAGATCTCCAGCATCTGCAATTCTTCATTTTACTTTACTGTATAAACTTAATGTATTTATTTTCTTGGGACAAGATCCTGCATCCACATTTATCACTGTGAAAGCATTAAATTATTAAGATAAGTTGTATAGACTGAGCTTCTGTTCCAGTTGGCTGTGAGCACTGTTGGCAAGGCCAATATTTATTGTCCATCTCTAATTGCTATTGAGAAGGTGATAGTGAGTATAGGACATTGAGTGACCTAATTGTGGTGTCTGAAATGACTGGAAGAATTTAAATTGTGAAGAGCTATTCCTCTGATTTGGGGGGAGGTGGTAATTGGAAGAGACTAGAACAATGGGGAGAAGCCTTGAAATTAGAGCTAGGCTTCATGTCCGAGAGCACTTCTTCAAACATCAAATAATAAAAGTCTGACAAACAACACTTCTCCAGTTCCCAAAACCCTGTGAGGCTGTGGGTGAGGTGGGGGTGGTTAAACAAAAATTTCAAAATTGAGATTAATGGAGTTTCTGGAATTACAGAATTTAAAAAAAATTGTTAGTGGTATTCAGGTAGAAATTAGCCATGATCCAATTGAAAAAGGACATTCTTGTTCATGGATGGCCTGTTCCTGTTAATTTTGCGTGTCCTAAATAATTTTACATTCATACCCGTCTCTGAAAATAACTTCATGAAATTTATAGCTCTTTAATTGTCCATCTATTTTCCCTAAGGGTTACTTTGACACTGGTTTTGTTCACATTTTATCTAATAACACTTTGCAATATTAGCTGTCACAATGGAGCTGCAGGCTGTGACCATCGGGTGGCTTTTGAATGCTTTTCTGAAGCCTCTCCTTAAAGATTATGTTGCTATATCCTACGTATAAAAGAAATTTATATTCATCAGTTGAATGCGAGGAACACCTCTGTTATGTCTTAACTTTATTCCTACAACTGGTCTTAGTGATTACTGTGGATTCACAATAAACCAGAGAGGAATCAAATTGGATCTCAATACATTTTCTCTTTCAGCCTCAGAAATTCCAGCCTCTATCAAGACTGAGAAAACATCAGGAAAAGAGGGTGAGAAGAAAGACCAGGCACCAGCAGTGTCCCCGGCACCCCAGAACCATCCCAAAGATAAATATGTGGAGAGGTAATGAAACAGGTCATCATTCTGCACTGCATTATCACGATCCAGTTGAAGTAACAATGACAGATGCATCAGGTAACCAGAGGTCATAAATTTAATATAATTAGCAAAAGATCTAGAATGGAATTGAGAATTATTTTTCACGCAGAGATTGTTATAACCTGCAACATAAGAAATGTAAGTAGCAGATTCTGTAGGAACTTTCAAATGGCAAATGGACGTATACTTGCTATGATATAATTCAAAGAGTTGAATGTTCTAAACATTCTTTTGTATATCTAGGGAAATTGTTTACTTCTGCTGGAGTACTTAAAAGACTTTCCTAATGTTATATCCTTGCGATATACTGTGGGTTGCAGCATATAAGTCAACATTGAAAACCATCAAAAATCCTTCCAAAAGCAAGGGTCGACATTTTGCAAGGTATAAAGTTGAACTGCTGGTGTGGGTTGGAGGGTCGCCATTTTGAAATGTGAAAAAACCCAATGGTCATTCATATTAATGTGGCATGGCTTATTGCATGAATTAGTTCTACAAAGATACCTTTAACCATAGTCAGAACATTTTCAACCCATCAAATCCATGGTCTTCAGCACCTGACAAAAGAGATCCTCAAAATTTATTCTGAGTCACTTTGTTTAAAAAATGCAGAATAATCGATCTGTGCATTAATTGTCTCTGCCACATTATAACAAAGGCTACAATTCAAAGTTAGTTCATTGGCTGTAAAGACCATTGCAATATCCTGAAAACATGAATGCATTTGTTAACCCTTTTCTTCTTTAACCACTTGTGCTAGATGATGTAATGACCATTAAAGCTATCCAGTCCTGTCTGCTTTCCCACACTGTCGTTTGAGTAGGTTCATTGGCTGTTACTTCATAATTTAAACGCTGTCAGATTATCTCTAGTTTCTTTCATAGGAATGAGAGTTTACTTGACGAAAAACATTGAGGGCCATAAATGGGCTGACTTTTTTCTCTGAAATGTTGAATGGATTGGTGCAAATTGATTATAACATGTATCTGGGTGTCCTCCAGCGATGACAAAACATGAGGTAGCCATCCATACACTAACTACAAAGGCAGTATGCTAAAATCTTTCTTCCTGTAGATCAGTTAGCTCATTTAGATGGATGGCTGGTGTGTGATGTGCAATGATGCCAACATTATGGGTTCAGTTCCTGTACTGATGAATATCACCATGATGGCTTTATCTTCTTAACATTGCCTGAGATACAGTGACGCTCAGGCTAAACTCATCACCCACTATCTGGGTCTTCCACTTTTTCACTTTCCAAGGATGATTCCACAATGGAACATGCTGCCAAAGGAAATAGTCACAGTCTATCAATGGAAACCTTCAAGACCCATCTTTAGATTAATTCTATTTCAAAGTTTTCAGGACAGCCATCTCAAGCGTGCTCATGCCTGCTTTAGCTAGCACTACATCAAAGATGTTGGGAGAATATCAATATTAGTCTGTGATGCCAATGCAGGAGAAAAGGAATGAAACATTTCACACCAATAGGTTTGATTAGTTCTAATTTGATTTCTAGGCAAGATTTATTCAGCTCCAAATCCTCACCGACAACTTCTCCCGTGTCCAGGAAGAACTCGACAGATGGACAACGGGACCATCACAGGTGAAATAATGTTTGTTAACCCTTTACAGCCCTGCAGGTGAGTTACCCCATTCAGGTACAATTGGAATCCTAGGCCTACTGGTGAGATAGTTAATCTCCTTCATTGCCTTTGTGGTTAATGTATTAAACATGCTGGAACAGCATGGTTCCAATCGTCCCTAGCTGAGCAACAGTTTGCGTTTGAAAAAAAAGTTATTTCTTGGGATGTGAGCATTGGTCATAAAGCCAGCATATTGTTACCCATCCTTACTTGCCCTTGAATGAAGTTGTTTGCTAGTCAGAAGTTGCTATTTAGAACAAAGAACAAAGAACAAAGAACACAGAACAAAGAAAATTACAGCACAGGTACAAGCCCTTCGACCCTCCAAGCCTGCGCAGATCCAGATCCTCTATCTAAACCTGTCGCCTATTTTCCAAGGATCTGTATCCCTCTGCTCCCTGCCCATTCATGAATCTGTCTAGATACATCTTAAATGACGCTATCGTGCCCGTCTCTACCACCTCTGCTGGCAACGCGTTCCAGGTACCCACCACCCTCTGCGTAAAGAACTTTCCACGCATATCTCCCTTAAACCTTTCCCCTCTCACCTTGAAATCGTGACCCCTAGTAATTGAGTCCCCCACTCTGGGGGAGAAAGCTTCTTGCTATCCACCTTGTCTATACCTGTCATGATTTTGTAGACCTCAATCAGTTACCCCCTCAACCTCCGTCTTTCTAATGTAAATAATCCTAATCTACTCAACCTCTCTTCATAGCTAGCACCCTCCATACCAGGCAACATCCTGGTGAACTTCCTTTGCACCCTCTCCAAAGCATCTACATCCTTTTGGTAATGTGGCAACCAGAACTGTACGCAGTATTCCAAATGTGGTTGAACCAAAGTCCTATACAACTGTAACATGACCAGCCAACTCTTGTACTCAATACCCCGTCGGATGAATGAAAACATGCTGTGTGCCTTCTTGACCACTCTATCGACCTGCGTTGCCACCTTCAGGATACAATGGACCTGAACACCTAGATCTCTCTGTGCATCATTTAATTCTGTTGCCTGGCTGAGGAAGATTTTTATTTCATAATTGACACAAATTAGTAAGTTGCACTTGAACTATACAGTCATTGTCAGGTTTGCATGAAGAAGACACTTTGGCTCCTTTTAGCTTGCTTCTTCAAACACAAATCCTTCCATCACCTCCCAACAGTATCAGCTATTCCCAAAATGCACGTGTAGCAGTTGGATAGACTACACAGTTTTCAGATTCTAAAGAAAGTCTTTCATTTTGGACATGTTCTAGGCAGCCATGTGCGCGCTTATACCATTAGGAGGCAGTGTGACTAAATGTCATGCCTAATTCATGAACATAAGGAATGACTTTTTTTTTGAACAATGAAGGGTTCTAGGTGGACAATGTTTGAAACAATGTTTGAAAGTTGTTTGCTGCTAAACTATGAGAGTGGAAGTCATCCGTTTCCTGCTAATTAACATGGATTTTCAGAGCATTACGGGAGAAATGAAATTAGTTATACTGCTGTTCTGTAAAGTAAACTATTAACGATGCACAAATGCTTGTGTAAATGCTGCTTTATTTGTTTTCCTTGAGGGATTTTGAAATGGCTCTTGTATTTTGCAGGGGTGATTTCTTGAGCTCTATGTCACCAATGACTCTTTCACCTATGCCCAGGAAAAACTCCACAGATACTGAAGAAAGGTAGTGTAATGTCTGTTTTGCTATGAAAGGGAGTTTTAAAAAAATACCTTTAGAAGAAGTATCTGGCAAATTTCTATTTTCTTTGTGAATGAGGAGCAGAAAGATGCATATTTTTGCCAAGATGCACCACAAATTGAAAAGCATTCATCAGGGTGGCAATGATTTATTCTTCTATAATTCAGGGAAAGCAAAGATGTCAAAAGCTTTTCTTGGCATGGTGAGGGTGTGCTTTTAAACTATTGAAGACTGCCATGTCTTAAAAATGCCTACATTGAAGTTATAGGCAATTAAAATGTTTTATTCTCAACCATATTGCTGAGCTGTGGCCTTTTCCATGATGTATTCTCCTTTCAGGTGATATTGACTTTATTCAAGGATTGTGGCAATTTAACACAGTTTTGTTGCTGACACATCTCATGGTAACTAGCTGTGCTTCTCCCGGCAATTCTGTCTGTATATATAAATAGAAAACAACATGGTTAACATCTGTGGGGACAAAGATTTATTCGTTAGTGTAATGACTTGTTTCCAAGATTTGGTGCATTGCGCATCCAAGTAGCCCTGCCCAATCTATTGTGATAGCACTAACTTGTGTTGGGGTAGGGTTCTACAAACAATTGCAGCCCCTCTGAATATTCTGGGACCAAGAACCTGGACAGGTTTGAGAGAGACATTTCTGCCTGACCTTGTCATCACTTGAACTGTCAGTGGGACTTTGACCTCTTGATTCCTAGCCAAATGCCTCTGAAAAAGAAAATGGAGATGTCTATTTATATAGCACCTTATAAGATCTCTCAGACACATCAAAGCCGCCTCATTCAACTTGGATTTATATGGAAACTTTACTTGTCGTAACCTATTCCAAAGTCCTTTCTTAAAACTGTAAATGGTGAGAAGGAAGTGATAGCTTTTTTAAAAAATCATTTATTCGTGGGATGTGGGTGTCACTGACTGGGCCAGCATTTATTGCCCATTGTTGGTTGCCCTTGGGAAAATAGTGGTGAGCTGCCTTCTTGAATCACTGCAGTCCATTTAGTGTAGATACACCCATAGTGCAATTAGGGAGTTCATAGAATCATTCATAGAAAATGGGACTAGTGTAGGTAGTAGAGTATTTTGGCAATACAGATTCAATAGCCTGAAGGATCTCTTATGTACTGTAGAACATAGAACATAGAACATAGAACATTACGGCCCTTCAGGCTATTGAATCTGTATTGCCAAAATACTCTACTACCTACACTAGTCCCATTTTCCCCGCACTTAACCCACAACTTTCAGTTCCAGGATTTTGATCCATTGAAGGAATGACAATATATTTCCAAGTCAGGATGGTGATTGGTTTGGACGGGAAACATGCAGCTGGTACCCATCCTGTGTATCTATAGCCCTTATCCTTACAGATGGGTCATGGGTTTGGAAGGTGCCGTATGAACAATAAAAAGGGACTCCCAGGTCCCCGTAGTTCAGGCCTGGCATTTCACATTAAAACATTGTATTAAACCCAACTGGATTCCCTTTGAAAGCATCTTCCAAATGTCTGACCTCTACCACCTCAAAAGACAAGGACAGTAAATGCATGGGAACACCGTTACCTTTAAGTTCTCCTCTGACCCACAGACCACCCTGATTTGGAACTATTTTGCTGTTCCTTCACTGCCATTGAGTCAAATTTATGAAACTCCCTTCTTAACACTGCGTGAGTTCCTACACATCACAGTCAAAAAGACAGCTCACTATCACCTTTTCAAGGGCAATTATGGATGAACAACAAACAGGGGTTTAGCTGTGATGCCCTTATCCCATGAAAGAATAAGTTCTCTCAACAAGGAGAGCTTAAGACAGCTATATTGTTATCATATAAGAACAGGAGTAGATCACTCCAGCCCATTCTGCTTTTGTAATTAGATCTGGTCGTTCATTATAATAACTAGTTTTGTAATTTTGGCATTGGTTGATTCAAAGGCGCTAAACGACGAGTATAAAACAGAAAAGATAAATCCCACGTAATGGTTAAAGTCATAGAATCCCCTACAGTATGGAAACAGGCCCTTCAACCCAACAAGTCCACACCGACCCTCAGAGCATCCCACCATGACCCATACCCCTATAACCCACCTAATCTGCACATCCCTGACAGTATGGGCAATTTAGCATGGCCAATCCACCTAGCCTGCACATCTTTGGACTGTGGGAGGAAACCGGAGCACCCATGGAAACCCACGCAGGGGAGAATGTGCAAACTCCACACAGACAGTTGCTCGAGGGTGGAATCGAACCCAGGTCCCTGGTGCTGTGAGGCAGCAGTGCTAACCACTGAGCCACCGTGCTGCACACCTGTGATAATTATTTGGATAAAATTAGCACTTTGCCAAGTTTAAAGGTTTCCTGTGTCACTTTTCAAGTTCATCGAGTTCATTGTAGCTTTAAAGAACACTGATGTCCTTCTACACAGGTCATGTGAATTTTTTGCTGGTGAATGTAAGGCGGGGAGGGTTACATGGGTACAAGTGATGAACGTCATACAGTGATAACATCTTCTGCCTGAGCATGAAAGGTTAACACTGAAAATGCTCAACACACCATTTATTTCAATCACAGGAGAGATTCATTCAGCAAATCCCCACCAATCAGCTTGAAGTTGTCAAGGAACATTTAACAGATAAAAAGGCTGAAAGATAACTGATTCTATCTCATTATCAGTCTAGAAATACAGAGCAAAATCGGTATAGTCTAGTCTTCACTTGCCTTTAATTATCTTCACCCTCTCTTGAAGAAGTTGACCCTTCCTGACGCAGTTATTTTATGGCACTTCATGCAAGAGACTGCTGTTTGTGACTTGAGGAGGCAGTGTCAGACATTTAAATGGCTATGGACAGCACTGACGGAGATCAAGCCTTTCAGATCTGTTTTTAATTTCTTGTTTGCACAATAGTAAGCAACTAGGTCAATGAATTATAATCAATAGTGGGATCACTGACTGATCCTTGTTCCCCATCCCCTTTGGTAGGTGTTGCTTCCCAGGAGCATAATGACCTATCCCAGTCTGGATCAGTGACTACACAACAGAGTTATCTGGCTAGAGGGGCAGTACTATCAAACATAATATTATTCCAGTCACTCTAAGAATCAAGAACCCATTCATTTTCTTGATATCAGTTGAGAAATCAGAAGCTTAGTCATTCCCTGATGTACTATGTTCCGTAATGGCCTCTTCTTGCTTGGCAGGGAGCCTAGAATCAACAAAACCTACCAGTACCACCTTGTACTGAGAGCAGTTAGTCTCAAGGTAGAGCCACAAGGTCACAAACCAACTCCAGTATTGCTTTACACAGACTTTAACAGTACTGCACCAGAACGTACCACTGTACAATGAACAAAATACATTGCCAACCAAGACCATGGCAGTACCTGTCCTTGATTGTTGCATATTACCGCTTACTGCCAGTTTTGAACATGCGAACAACAGGTATACCTTGAATATTTATAGACATTTCTAGGATATTGCAAGAAATGTTGTTTACTTAAATACGCCCAAGTGAATGGTAAATATTGTATCTTGGTAAGTACGTAATTTAAATTGCCAACCAGCTCCAAATCTTAAAGGGAAATATGTATTTGGTTTAATCCATTCTTGGGACCATGAATATTTACAGCAAAGAAAGAGGCATTTTGTCTGTGTTGTCTCCATTCCAAAGCAAACCAGCCAACTGCAGAGGAGATTTACTCGAAACATTACCAGGAATGCGGTCCTTCAGTGGAGTGAGGCAGATTGTCCTCCTCCTCTTTGGAACAGAGAAGGTTAAGGATCGATTTTATACATGGGTTCAGAGCACAAAGAATTTTGAAAAAGTAACTGTCTCCATTGGCAGGTTTATTAACTAGAGGGCTCTGATATGAAGTGAGAGAGTCAGAGACGAGATGAGTTTAGTTTAATTTAGTGAGTTTTTATGATCTGGGAAGTATTGCTTACGAAGGAACTCCAAGCAGATTCAATGATAACTGATGGTTATGTGCCTCCCTCCCACTCTAGCTCAGAAGCTGTCTGTGTCCATATGCAGCAAGGCCTGTGCAACATTCAGGCTTGGACCAAACAAGTGTCAACCGATGATCACCTCCACTAAAGTGGCACTGCCATCACTGAACCCCCTACCATCTGCACCTTGCAGGTTACCACTGCCCAGATACTGAACATCAGAACATTGGAAATAGGAACAATAACAGGCCATTCGGCTGTTTATACCTGCTCTGCCATTCTGTATGATCCTGGATGACCAGCCAACTTAGCATCCTGTTCCCAATTTCTCCTCATGCCATTTGATCCTTTTAGCCCTAAGAACTGAAACAACTATATAAATACTCTGGTTAAAAGTGCAGCTAAGAACCTAGAAACTTTACAGTGTATAACTCACCTCCTGACTATCCAAAGTTTGGCCACTATGTGTAAAGGGAGTGTGATGGAATACCCTCAACTTCTCTGATAATACTCAGGAAGTTTGACAACATCCAACACAAAACAGCTCGCTTGGTCAGTATCCCATCCACCACTTTAAACATTCATGACCTCCAACATGGATGCGTAGTGGTTACAGCGTGTACCATCGAGAAGATACACAATAACAATTCACCAAGGCTCCTCTGATGTTCTAAACCTCCAGCACTTGGAAGGGGAAGGAAAGCCAATGCATTGGAACACTTTCAGTTGCAAGTTTCTCTTTGAGCTACTTACCATTCTGACTTGGAACAATATCACTGTGCCTTCATTGTTACGGTCTCAAAATCCTGGGACTCATTTCTTAACAGCACTGATGGGAGTAGCTTCATAACATGGACAGCAGTGGTTCAAGGCAATGGCTACCCATCACCAGCTTCTGCAGAGCAGTTAGGGATGGTGAATAAATGCTGATCTAGCTGCAATGCCCATATCTCATTGATGCACGAAACAAATCTCTGTATGCTGTATTTTCCTCTGAATGAAATACATACTCAGTTTTTCTTGCAATGATACAATGGTTATTGCCTCAAACATTTCCTCTGGACAACAACACTCCAAACAAAGAAATATCTTGAAAGTCTGCTCACTCTTGCTGACAGTTGTAAATCGAGAACTCCTAATCACTGAGACCCTAACAGAGACAAAATTGTTTCCTCCTCCTTGTCCAATATTTACGATTTAAAAAAAAATCATGTTTTCACTGGTTCCTACTTTGGTGGAAGTCTCCTCTAGTAGTATGTCATCTGTGATATCTTGTGATGTACACTAGCTAATATTAAACAGTCAGTAAACCCCTCATTCTCTGTTGTAGGAAGGATTCGTACAACAGCAAATCACCAACAACAGCCTCACCAGCTCGAAGAACTTCAGTGGATAATTTGAAAGAAGAAAGGTTAGCTATCTGTGCTATGATTTCTTTAAAATTCAAAATCCAGCTGGGATTAGAGTAGCGAATAGCAGGAAGGAAAGGCAAATAAAACATAAAGTGAAACTGAATGTAACAGTTCAGTGATTTAGAAACTTCGATTTGGACAGCCTCAAAAAGGAAAGACCGAGAAAAGAAAATATTTTAATTCCTGGGAAAGAATCTCTTGAGAATAAGAGACTGTGTAATGGATCTTAATTTCAAAGTTATGATCAGACTTGATGATTTCAGTCACTTCTCTATGTAATAATACAAAGGTATAATCTTGCTATCCATTTTCCCCCCAGTTGTGGGCCCTTTCCTAATTCCCAGTTGCTGCCTGGTGTTCCCATTCTGGACCAGGCTGAAACTTACCTTCGTTCATTTCTGATCTTCCAATGCTGACTCACTGCATTATGTCTCCAAGAAACGTGGGATAGAACTTTTATATTTCCCTGGGATCAGGCATCCAGATGAGTGGGAGTGGGTGGGAGGTGGGGTGTGTAAAACGGGGTCCTATGGATTGAGGCAATGTCGTGCCCACATCTACCTTTATCAGCAGTGAGAAAGGCATCAGACAATCTCCTTACCCTGAGTCAGTTGAGGTCCTTAAGTGGTACCTGGGAAACCTTTTGCAAACTATGGATGGGGGTCCATCCTGTTCAGGACGTTGTGCCTTAAATTGGCTGCCATGATACTCCCGCCTCCTCCATCTCCCCACCTGTTTCCAACTCTTCAATCCCCTGCTAAAAGTGGCACTCCCAGTGAAACTCTCCTTGTACAAACTCAGCTTCAAGATTTGGCTGCATGACTCCTCAGCAAAGGGACAGCATGCTCTTCTGGAATTGGGCACCACTCCCAGTGGTGCTACTGAGATTAATCTGCCTCTGGCATTTGATCAGCCAGCAGACCTCTGAGGTGCGATTGCCTCCCAGACGAGAGCAGACTTCTTGCTCTGAGCTAATTAACAGCCCAATGGCTATAGAATTAGTTTGGAATGACCCATCGAAGTGGGCTGCGCCCATGCTTTTAAATCAGGGCTATTCAGCCCAAAGGCCCTGTTACATTCATTTTGATCATGATCATTCTGTAGGTAAATTTCATTTGACCCTTGGGCCCCTTCAACCTTAGTCTATTGTTAAACAAGATTTCCGTCAATTTCAGTTTTGAAATCTTCATTTGACCCCAGATCAATAGCCTTTTGGGGAAGAAAGTTCCAGATCCTCATTACTGTTTGTATGAGGAAGTGCTTCTTGACATACCATAAATACTTGTGTAAAAGTCAGATTTTTTAGACTGTTTTATAAGGTTAAATTTATGGGGCTGTCTATTATATGCATACTAGTTTTGAGGGGCTGAAATTCATGCTACTGTCCAAAATACCATATCATTTGCAGAAGTCTTTCTTCTGCCAATTTATGATTGCAAATTGGTGAAATTGTAATATCTTATCTTCTAGTTCAACAGGCAGTCTTAGTTCTCTGCTGAAGTACTGAGTCATGCCTTCTCATGAACCTTGTGCACCATCCAGCACTTGCCTTAAAATTTGAAATTCCATCCTTCTTCGATTCGTTTTGTGCATGGATTTGGATGGCTTCATTACTAACACATTTTCCATTTTTGACGATTTTCAAGTAGCCACTCAACAACTTTTTTTCTCCACTTGTGGCCACTTGCTAGTTTTACCTCTGTTGGCACACTTTTTCGTTTTGGCATTTTTTGAAATTGATTTGATGTCTTTCTCCAGTCTGTCTCAAGTTTCTCCGAAACACAAAATTCTCTTGCTGCTACACAATTATTTGTCTTCCCTGCAACTTCAATAACTTTCATGTTAAATGCTGCTGCATAATGTTTGTGTTTTCTGGAGACCATTTTTCCATAAGATGAAGAAGAAATTTCAAAACCTCAACTAGGTACATGACCATATTCCACGAACGCTACAGGGGAACTGAGCTCAGCTGAGCTGCAAACAAAGGGAGGTTGTCACCTGACTGTAACCAGATGCGTCTTAAACTTTTACACCAAATTGTTGTGAATTGTACATCAAAACACATAATAGCATGAAAAAATTCCTCATTGTAACATTTATGTAAAGGATAATACCTTGACTCACAAATGATCTGTTATCAGTGAAGAACTAGGGTCGACTTTTACATGAGATATTTGGAAAATTCCAGATATTTTGGCCAAAAGTAGGGGGGCGACTTTTACATGAGATCAACTTTTACTTGAGGATGTACAATAATTCCTGAACAGCCTGGCCATAACTTTAATTTTTTTTTGTGTAATATAGGTGTAATATGGGTAGGATTTATTCTGCATCCCTAATGACTCTTAAAGCTTTATGACCGCCTTGTCCTAGACTTGCTCAATAAAATTGTTTAAATCTTTTTAATAAAAAATCCTTTAATCATCTTAAACAGTGATGATAATGCCATTAAATGTTAAGGAACGATGGTTGGATTCTCTCCTGTTAGAGATGGTCATCACTTGGTACTTGTGTGGCGTCACTTGCCACTTATCAGCTCAAACCTGGATATTGTCCAGGTACTGCATTTGGACATGGACTGCTTCATTTTCTGAGGTGTCTCAAAATGGTATGTTAAATCAAATTGATGGAGCGTGCAGGTGGGCTTTCTGATTTACTGGACAGCTTGTTCTTTTGGGCCTCCCTCCAGGTACCCTGTTGATCACCAAAATAAAGACATTTTGGGATTCTTTGGGATTTACTGTAATCTGCAGGTCCAGCTTCATCTTTCAGAGATTTTGCTGTTTTGATGATTTTTCTACCTGTTTTAACAGTGGAGGTAGCAGCAAAGCAAAGATGGAATCACCTTCCACACCTACCAGCCCTACCTTCTCCACACCAACTATCCTCCCTCCTTTCTTGTCAACTGGGGAGTCCATCCGTGACAAATGTATAGAGATGTTAATTGCAGCTTTGAAGACTGATGGTGAGATGCTTTTTCCATGTGTTAAATTGTGTGCTTTTTTAAAAACATGTAGTGGTCAGTGCCAGCAGATGGCAGTGTATAGAGTGGGTAATGAGTGTAAAAGGCTCTTGGACATCTTGACCAAGTTTGTGTTGAACAGGAAAACAAAGCAGAACAAGTCACTTTGAAATTTCTTGAACATGGTTAATTTAAAATTATAGATTTTCTTCATTTATTGACATTCAAGGGGTTTCTTGATTAAAGAATAAAAGAAGGAATTTATTTCAGACATCTTATGATTCTTCTGGGGCAGGAGGGACTTGAACCCAGACTTTTTGACCCAGACGTGGGATACTACTACTGCACCGCAAGAACCCCTTAACTTATAAACAGCTTTCATTCCCACAAGACTTCTTAAAATGATTTTATAGACAATTTAAAGTGTCGCAGTTTAATTTTTACAGTTGTAATGGAGGAAATGCAATGGCCAATGTATAGCACAGGATAGCCTCACATTATCAGCAGCATGAGAATGCCTAGATAATCCAGATAATGATGTTAATTGAAGGATAAATTTTGATTAGGATACCAAGGCAGAACCTGCACTTAAATGGTGCTTTTACACGAGAGGTTTCATAAGGCTATGATTTAGTGTCTGATCTGAACAATATCTTCTCCAGCAGTGCAGCCCTCCTGTACTATTCAGGCAGTACCAACCTAGGTTTTGCGCCCAAGTCTCTAGTGTGAGACTTGACTCTTGCTCAGAGGTGCTAGTAAAATAATTCACAGCCGCCTTCTAACTGGATGTTAAAAGGTTTTTTTCTCATTTAATACTTCCTTCAGTTGGCTCACCCTTGGTGGTAACTTGTTTGGAACCTAGGTATGTTGAAATGGAGCGATAATTGAAAAGAGTTGGATGAGGTTATCAATACTGCTGGTGGAGTAGACCAATGTCAGCAGTGGCAATAGTACTGTTAGGTTGAGGTAATATTTTATGAGGTTAGACTCTTTGCCTTGCATATGTTAACTCAACTCTCAATCAAAATAGGATAACACATCCTGTTGCCATGTGCTCTCACCCAACTCTGTTGTTAAATATTATCTACAGTTCAATTGACTCACCACCATATGTAATATGTGCAGTAAATGCTAGATTTTGAGAATGAATTGTAGGGAAGCTTCCAAAATCCCTGCCATAGTTAACAGGGTGGGAATTCCTGGATGTGCATCTTCCCCATAGGTGCTCCCTGCGAGTTTCATTCCAAGCTGTGCATCACCCTGTGCTTTTCTACTCCAAATGTTGGAATAATTTACTGATTCTTTCCACAGATGATTACAAAGACTATGGTGTGAACTGTGACAAGATGGGTGCTGAAATTGAAGATTATATCCTTTTGAATTAACCAGTATGGAAAATAAGGTGTGAAAGTGTCAGGAAATCAGAAAAAGCAGAGAGTGAAAGGAAAAAAAACTTGTACACAGTTCCTTTCGTAACTTCACAACATCTCAAAGCCCTTTATTGACAATGAAGCGTATTTGGAGCATTGTCTCTGTTGTCATGTGGAACATTTTGTGCAGAGCAAGTTCCAGGATGGAACCCTTTTATGCTCACCTGAGAGGGTTAAATATACCATTTCAAATAGGGTCCAACCCAGACAATTACACTGCTGCCTCAGTACAGCACTAGGATTATTAGTGTGGATATTTTTGCTCAAGTCCTAAAGAGTTTGGAGTTGAATCCATAACTATCTGACTAAGAGGTGAGGCTGTACAGCCCTGAGTTGGGGGACGTAATAGTGTTGTGGTAATATAGGTGGATTTGTTATCACGAGGCACAATTCATATCCTGAGGATATGGATTCAAATTCTGACACTGCAGCTAGTGAAATTTTAATTGAGTTAATAAAATCTGATCAATAAAGGTGATTCCAGCAACTGCAACCATGACAATTGTTTTCAGTTGTCTTTAAAAATACATCTGGTTCGCAAATATCCTTGTAGGAAAAGAAATCTGCCATCCTTTTCTGGTCTGACCTACCTGTGACTCTGTGCCCAGAGCATTGTGGTTGACTTTTAACTGCCCTCTGTAATCAGTTCAAGTAGGAATGGGCAACAAATGTTGTTCATAAAAACAAAACCCAGATCCCATGAAAAAATTAGTCAACCGTTCAGTGTAGCTTGCCAGAAGTGGCTCTTCTAAAGGAGCAGCCCAATTTAATCTCATTCCTCTGCCCTCCCACCAATACCATGTAGATCTCTCCCTCTGAAGAACTTAAGTTCCCTTTTGAATGTTGCTATTAAATTTCCTTCTACCAGCCTTTCGAGCAGTGTGTTCCACTCCTGATGCTAGAAGGTTTTTGTTTATTTTCTCTTGTCACCTCTGTTTTATTCACCCTTCTGTTTTTCTGAACCATTTCACATATCTACCAGGAGTTTCAGAAAACAGACATGAAATACAAAAACCGTGTTCGAAGCAGAATAAGTAATCTGAAGGACCCAAAGAACCCTAACTTGAGAAGGAACGTGTTGGCTGGTGCGATCGACTTGCTCCATCTGGCGAGGATGACTGCAGAGGTGAGATGGCTTCAAGGTGCATGATAACACCTGCAAGGGAAGAGATGAAAAGAGAGACTAGTGTCTTACGGAACTGACCCGGTTGCAATGCCACCTCCAGCCAACTTGCACTCACTGTATATGCTCATTGACCAGGACCTGGACACTTGGGTAAGGCACTAAAGTGCTTCGGCTGCACATGGTACTGCTTCACAGTGGGAGCACCAATATTCTAGAAGAGGGGAGGAGAGCTGACAAAGGGAAGCTCATTAATACCTGCTCAATGTTATTTTATTGTACAGTTTATTGTACGACTAATACACCCTAAGTAGGAGCAAATTACTGCAGAAGCTGGAATCTGAACTGAAAACAAAAATGCTGGAGATCACAGAGGGTCAAGCAGCATTCAAGGAGAGAAAGCAAGCGAACATCTCAAGTGTAGATGACTAGAGCTGATGAAGAGCCATATAGACTCAAACGTTAGCTTGCTTTTTCTCCATGGATGCCGTCTGACTCACTGTAACCTCCAGCATGTTTTGTTTTCAGTTTTCCACACTTGAAAATGGTTCTACTTGTATGTACAAATTTTGGATCAAATAAGGAGTGCACTATATTATGGCTTTCTTAGAGGAAGACAACACTTCCTCTATTTTTCTATGAAAATTGAATTTTTTGTGAAGTCTTTAGAGTTGAATCTGACCATTGTTGACTTTGACTCAAGATTAAGGTCTTAGGTTTCAATTTAATTGGGCTGTTGTTTACAGGAAGCAGCTGAGGTGAAGACCCAAGCCAATTTGTCTTTTTTTAACATGGGTTATTCATGGATTTTTGACATTCCATTAATTGGACTGTCATTCGTGAGACTATCATTCTCTTTTTTCTTGACAGGAGATGGCCAGTGATGAGTTGAAGGAGCTTCGCAATGTGATAACCAGAGAAGCTATCAGGGAACATCAAATGGCAAAGACGGGTGGAACTCATTCTACTCTTTTTCAATGTGGAAAATGCAAGAAGAAAAATTGCACCTATAATCAGGTAGATGGATATTGTTGCAAGAAGGCTAGTACAAAAAATATTACATGTATGATACATCTTATTCAAATTTCCTCATGCAACGCCACTATGTTAACCTTGATAATATGTTACTACCTTTCACTGATAAATGTTTCATAGACTGAAGAGGCTACATGTTGTATTTTGATCCATAGAACACTGATTTAGAGTCAGTTATGGAGATCTACACACTAATCTGTGCTTCTGAACTCTTGATCATTAAATTGAACCTGTTTGTTGTCATACACAGACCAAAGGCTAAATGTTTGTTTTTTTTTTAATTAACTCCACAGGTTCAGACCCGCAGTGCTGATGAACCAATGACCACCTTCGTCCTGTGTAATGAATGCGGAAACCGCTGGAAGGTTTGTCTCATTACTTCGTCATTCTTTTACGTTTTGTTTTATTCCTTCCTTCTCTCTTTGACAACCTGCAACCTCTATTCTCCCCTCTCCCGTAGAGGTAGACACAGTGGACTTCGGTCCCATTTTACATATGTGTTGGGTGAGCTAACAGTGGGTTTGGGTTTATTATTCAACTCTGAAGGCTCTTACAGGTCTGATTCTTAAAATCCAAAGACATGTACTTTCCAGCAGAAGTCACTGGATGAGAATTTTGGGCAATAGCTTCCCACTCCACCTGATGGTTGCTGGACACTCCCTCCTCTCTCTTCTTTCCATTATTTTACTTTGCCTCTCCAGAAAGCTGCCTTAAACTGGGTTATAATCTCGGGAATGCTGACAACATTATGTTATCCCAATTGACTGACCATTTTAGTGTGAATGGGCAAATACTTCCATAATGTACATTCCACAGGACAGACCTAAATCTGTTTTTGTCCAGTATGACTTCTAGTACAGGCTACCAGATAGTAAATAGACCTCTCTCACTACTTTTACCTCCATTCCCTGGCATAGGGCACTGATGCCAGTTATAGAGATATACAGCATGCAAACAGACCCTCGGTCCAACACGTCCATGCCGACCAGATGTCCTGTATAAATCTAGTCCCATTTGCCAGCATTTGGCCCCTATCCCTCTAAACCCTTTCTATTCGTATATCCATCCTGATGCTTCTAAATGTTATAATCATACTAGCCTCCACCACTTCCTCTGGCAGCTCATTCCATACATGCATCACTCTCTGCATGAAAATATTGCCCCTTAGGTAATCAAGAGACAGATCTCAATAAAAAGAAACATTATAATCAAAAAGAACCCACTCTACTCACTATTGTAGATTTTCTTAGCTGCTCCCCTGCTGTGATCTCCCTATAGAGGTTTCTCCAAGGTCAGCTGTGAATTTCACTGTTTGTTTATTTTTCTTAGAGGAACTCCAATGTCCAGAGGTACTTGATATCAAACAGCAGAGACAGTAGCTGTGAAGGTTCACTACTGGGTCAGACAGCCGTGTAGGTTTATGTGTTGATTCCTCTCTCACCATGTGGTCACTGCCTTTGTCTCTCGTCCTCCTTTTTTAAAGTGCCATTGTTTAGATTTTTTTCCCCCAAAGTTCCAAAACAATGCTTATAAAACAGTAATTACTGCTTCTAGAATTTGAGGAAATCAGCTCCAAAACTGAAAATACCTCAAAAAAGGAGCACTTTATATACAGCCACAAATTTTTCCTGTCCTCCATCTTAGATTGCACACTTGGGAAAAACAAGCCTTACCATCACCTTCTGTCTTTTACCTTCAGGCCAATTTTGAATCCATATGGCTAGCTCTCCATGGATTCCATGTGATCTAACCTTCCTAACAGGCTACCATGTGGAACTTTGTCAAATGCCTTCCTGAAGCCCATTATAGACAATGTCCACTGCTCTGCCTTCATCAATCGTCTTTGTTGCTTCTTCAAAAAAATTCAATGAAGTTATTGAGACACAATTTCCCACACACAAAGCCACATGGACTGTCCCTAATCAGTCCTTACCACCTTTCCAAATACATGTAAATCCTGTCCCTCAGAATCTCCTCCAATGACTTGCCCACCACTCATGTCAGGCTCGCCATTCTATAGTTCCTTGACTTTTGTTACCACCTTTCTTAAATAGTGGCACCACATTAGCCACCCTCCACTCCTCTGGCACCTTACCCATGGCTATCGATAATACAAAAATCTCAGCAAGGGACCCAGCAATCACTTCCCTAACTTTCCACAAACTCCTGGGATACACCTGATCAGATCCTGTGGATTTATCCACCTTTATGCATTTTAAGATGTCCGGTGTCTCCTCCTCTGTAATTGGACACTTTTCAAGATATGACCATTTATTTCCCCAACTTCCCTAGCTTCCATATCCTTCTCCACAGTAAATACTGACGGGAAATTTTTTTTAGTATCTCCCCCATCTTCTGTCTTTCCAGGAGCTAATTTACTACCATCCCAGCTGGGGTCAGTAAACACTGGCCATCAAATGTTACAGACTGGGAAAATCTGGACTATTCCCAATAATGTGTAGAGATAATAGACTGGAACATGTCACTTAGCCATTACTACAGACTGATAATGTTAATTAAAACACTTCAGCTTGGCTTTGCTTCGGTAGGTTGATGTCAAAGACTTGATATGTCATTGTGTCATTCCATTAGCAAAGAACCATTGTTGTTTAATGGGAGTGCATTAATAATAATCTCAAATTTTTTTACTACTTATCTCGTTTCAGTTCTGCTGATGAACAGGATTCAAATATTTTCACTACGTTTTGAATTACAATCTTCTGTGAGGAGGAAAAAGGTGTAATTCAGTAAGGACAGAGACTCTTGCTGTGTTTCTTTATCCTTTACATCAGACGATGAAAGAGTAATTTGATTCTTCAACATTAACCCTTCAAGAACTGAATGAGTTCTATAGCTTTTGCATGTTCTATTTTTTCTGCTCTGTAAATTGCATCGAAAGGAAACTCCAATTTCTGTTCTTGGGTGATCACTGTGAATTTATTCAAATCATTTGCAAACCAAATTTTGTGGCATTCTTCAAATTTCTAAACACTGTTTTTGAGATTTATTCTATTGTTGCAGGAATATTAAGCTGGTGTCCAAAGGGTTAATTTTGCCATGGGAACCAGGATTTAATTGACTGGCCATTTCTCACTTAATTTTGTTTTTAAAGATTGCAAAAAATAGATTTTGATTTCATATTGAGCTGAAGTGGTTTGTTTTTGATTAAGAACAGTTCGGAACCAACTCTCCTGAGAATAATGAGCAATAAGAAATTAACTCCACACTTGCAGGAGAGTACCATCTCAGTTTGAAACAAAAACAGAAGTTGGTGGATAAGCTCAGCAGGTGTGGCAGCATCTGTGAAGAGAAATCAGAGTTAACATTTTGGGTCGAGTGATCCTTCTTCAGAACAGACCCGAAACGTTATCTCTGATTTCTCTTCACAGATGCTGCCACACCTGCTGAGCTTTTCCGGCAACTTGTGTCTTTGTTTCTGATTTACAGCATCGGCAGTTCTTTCAGTTTTTACATCAACCTGAAAGCCTCGTCACTGCCACTATATCTTTTAAAATGTTCTTTTTAAGTCTGTTCTTTGATTTGCCTGTTGATTTTGTTTTGTTCTTATTCAGAAGTGTGCTATCCCTCACCTTGTCTTCAAATATACCACCACCATCCCGTTCCAAATGTTTCTTTCCTTTCCAAAAGGTGCTGGCCTTTTACAGAGAACCGCTTCATGAGCTATGGTTACCCTTTATTATCTCACTGAAGCAGCCATTCGTCAGGGGAAATACCCACAGGGCTGTTTGGGTTTCACAGCCTGATTCTTGCCCGATGACTGTATTACAGACAGTTGGAGTCAGTGAAAACCTGTGACTGTGTAACCAGGCTGTGAATTGCTATGAGCTGTATCCAACTCTGGTTAGAGATATGGACCATCTGTCCACTGCACTCCAAACCCTCGCTGTTGGGAATCTCAACTTTTCTGATCCCACTGGGTTCAGTTATCCACAGCCAAATACCGTGCAAAGTATTCTCTTGGTTATTGAATTGGATGATTCTTCACTGTCAGGCAAATATTCTTTCCCCTCCCATTCCCTAATATTTTCATAACTAGGAACAAAAATGTTAATGAAGGATGTTTAAAACGTACAATGTCATCGCTATGATGTTTTTTCCTTACATTGCTTGCAGCGTTTTTCTGGGTCGTGATCTTTAATTCTCAAGGCCTCCAGGATTATCTTCCAAGATGGGCAACCCTGCTCCTCATATCTAAAAGAATATTCATGGGTGGTAATTGATGCTCCCATCTGTAGCAAGATTGGTGCAGATGCATTTAATCAGGCAGGAGATTGGTTGGGGGGAGCATTACACCTACTACCTGCACTTTGAGTAAGCCTTTGGTAGGAATGCCTGGGGACAGCCTACCTCCCCAGCCACCAGTCGAGGTCCTTAAGTGGGTAATTGATACAATTGTAACGATACTGCTAGTATTAGCCAAATAGGGTTGCTTCCAGGCTACCAAGGTGGGATCCTTCATTCAAAGCCACTCTGTTGCTGATCAGGTGGCACCGCTGGGAGCCTGTCCCCTCCCGTTTTTGCTGCACTCCTCCCAGCAGTCCCCACCCCAACCACTCCCCTGTAATCCAGTAGTGTCACAAGGTCCCAGGTGGGTGTCATAGCGGCAGTAGCCATTACCCTCTGGGTGGCGCTGTGAATCAGTGGATCTGTCAGTCCCTGATTGGCTGGCTGCTCTCAGTGGGCCCCAGGGTTCTTGGTCCCAGGAGAAAGCCAATTGTTGTCTATGTACCTGAGTCTCACATGATGCAATGGGCCTTCCTGATAAAGAGACAATATGGGTTGCTTGCTGGCACTGTATGGTCAAGTCGTCCATCTCCATCCCCCCACCCGCCAATTAAATATCGACATATGAACCTGTGTTTTAGTTTGTATGAAGTATTTCCTGTTGATATTTGAATTGAAATGTTATGCTTTGCTTTTTTTTTAAGCTGCTCTTTAAGGCTGGCTTGCTGCTGTGTTGAAAATGGAATCTTCAGATACTTTTTAAATTGTTACTTTTTTCCCCTGCTTCAGACCAGTTTCTGACATTAGAATTCAATGAACTCGAGTAGCAAGTACTTGCACTCAACTTTCTTTAGAAACATCAGTGTCAATGAACAATTAAATTAAACCTTTTCCATTTTAAACAGTAGTACTTCCAGTTTCTTTCATATCCAGAGTAAGATTCCAAGGATACGGGTCTGAGGGCCCAATCATCCAAAATTGGATTCACAGGATTGTAGAAACTTCATGGCATAGATATAGGCCCTTTAGCACAGTTGGAATTGTTACACTTCACACGAACTTCTTCGAACTCTACTTAATCTATCAGTGTATTTTGTGTTCCTGTATTTGTTGTGTATTTATTTAGCTGTCTCTTACCTGCATCTGTAGCATTTATCTCAACTGCTCCCTGTGGTAGTGAGTTCAACATTCGTAAGGCTCATTATCAACAAAGCTGAATGAGATTTGCTGCTTGAGCTGTGCAGATAGCCGGAAAAGGAGAAACCAAATTTTGTTCTGATATTGATTCCCAAGATGAGAAAGTTATTCAATCTAGTGCACTTTTTTTTTCGTTGCACTCTGTCTGACATCCTTCCTTAATGAAGGAGATCAGACTGTCTAAAGTTAACTACAAGTGGAGCCATTGGCCTTTTGGACTATGTACAGACTTTGTTTGGTATTAACTACCTCCTAAGTAATTCTCACTGTTTTGCTTATTGCTTTATCCATACTCATTTAAGAAGCTATTGAATATTACAAATAAAAGAAGTTTTGTTCTAAAGAATGGTCGCTAGACCTGACCCTGAAACATTAACTCTGCATTCTCACCACATTGATGCTGCCAGACCTACTGAGTTTTCCCAGCAGCTTCTGTTTTTGTTTCTGATTTCCAGCATCCACAGTTCTTTAGTTTGTTTATTGAATCTTACGATAAAGGGACTTTCAGGTCTTTGCAATTGGATGAATTAACACCAACAAATTGCATTTAAATATTGACTTTAATCTAATAAAATGTTCCAAAGCAGGAGTGATATCTAATAAAATTTGATATGGAGTCATATAAGGAGGTATTAGGACAAATGACTTCAAAGGTTTGACAATGGAAAGGCATGGTCACAACTGGTGCACTGATTAAAATCAGGAATGCATGAGAGACCAGGATTTGAGGACTGCAGAGATTTTGAAATGCTGTAGGATGGAAGAGGTTAAAGTGATAAGCGGTAGTGAAGCCATGGAGGGATTTGAAAATATGAGATGTTGGTTGTAGTTGGCACCAAAAGAACAAATCTCAGTCCAGAGTTTGGAAGGATTCCTTTCCCTTCTTTATTTCCCAATATGGGAATTTAAATATTGGCTAAAGCCAATACAAACAGGCTTTGGTTTAAACATCTCAATCACCATACCAACATTTGAACAATGCAATGCTTTCTTGAGCAGCACTGGATTGTCAGCCCAGATACATTGCAGGGTGAGGTGGACCTATGACCTTATAACTCTGAAGGTTAATGTTGAGCAAAGCCGACCTATCATAAACCAACTGATGTAGGTTAATATTGGATGCAAGCCAACTGGCAGAATTAGAAAGATCTGATCATTTTGTAATGGCTGAGAGCTTAGGCCCATGGTGTAGTTACACTTAAGAGTTCATTGGGCACAGTTCATGCTGAAATACTCTATTCCAAATGCGTGAACAAAGCTTATCCTTCAAATTATGCAATGCTAGTTTCCTCCAAGTGAATACAGAACAGCCTGATATAAAAGAATCTCCACTTACGTTGAGACCTTTGTGACCTCAGGCTGTCTCACAAGATTTTCTAGCCAATGAGATGTTCTTGAAGTACAGTCAGTGTTGTAATGTGAGAAATGTAGCAGCAAATATGAAACAGCAGATTTGTACAGAAGATTTGTTTTTGAAATTTGACTGGGGTTAAGTACTGGCCCCTCTTCAGAATAGCACTTCTGAGAGGATTTGATGTGGCCTTGATTTAACACCTTTTGCAATACTTCTGTACTGTGCTGGGAAACTTCAGGGTTGAATCAAATGCTTCACTCTCTTGACTAGGACTCTAATTGTACCCAGTCATACTAATTAAGTTAATATTTAATGGGGAGATGGTGGCAGAGTAGTAATATCATAGGATTAGTGATTCAGAGGCCCACACTAGGGACACAGGTTCAAATCCCACTGAGGCAGCTGGTGTGAATTTAAATCAATTAAAAACAATCTGGAATTGAAAGCTAGTCTCAGTAATGATAACCTTGAAACCGTTGTCAACTTCATTGAACCAGATGAGTTTTATTATGCTCTTTAGGGAAGGAAATCTGCTATCCTCACCTGATGTGGCCTACATGTGACAATAGATCCACAGAATTGACTCTACCCAATATCTCAAAATTGCCTCAACAACAAAGCAAGTCGACAGGATGAAGTAAAATGGCCAATTATCTCTAAAACAACTTTTACAATGACTCATCCTTCGCCATTTCGACAAAATGGGTTATTGAGATTTAGCCACCAGAAATATGAAACTTTCCACATGTTAGCATTTATTAATATGGTCTTTATATTAAGACATATGAGATGAAATGTAAAGCTGTGGAAAGGAGAAAACTGAAATCAAAGAATGCATAGCACAACAAGTGAACCGGGCTGTGAAAAAGATGGATTATCCTGTAGGATCATACCTTTCACCAAGACTGAATCTTGCTTATGTCAGATTAGACCTACATATTGTGGAATTGCCAAAGCCCAGTAGAAATTTTAATAGAATCAATGAGTTGGTGAAGCCTTCCAATCTTTTTATGTCCTGGTATTTGTAGACCTATAAGTTATAGATGGTTTTGGACGCTTCATGGGATACAGCACTTTGTTTGTCTTCTTTATATCAGTAAGGCAAGTGGTGGTCATTTTGGTGAGAAGTTGATGGTCCCATTTTGCATCAAGAAGTGTGATAAGGATTGCCGTAGGAGGCCTGAGAGTTTGATTCTTCATTGACCTTCACATCAACTCTGTTTTTGGTCTTGTGCACAATGCTTGAACGACTGTCACAGTTTAGAGTCCAGGGCATTGCCTGAGGCAGTCGCATTTTGTAAAAGTGATTTGTACATTGGCGAATTCAAGAACCTGGGGTAGGAGTCCCTGTGCATCAGTGCATATATCTGCATTTGTGCTTCATCAAACATATCTGCTGTTGGCATCACCATGTTTTTGTTGATTGTTTCGCGTACACTCGCATCGATGCTGACCTAGGGAAAGAAACTCAGCTGTTAAACTCAGTTTGACTATTTAAAGAAAGTCTCTTGTCATCGGAGACACCTACAAAGTGGGAATTTTGCCATAATACATTACTTTTAAAGTAGGTGAGATGCTATCATAGATCCCTTTTGAATTTGGGATCATCCATTACAAACCTATGCAGCTGGCCACACAAAATCCAATCCAGAGTTACTTAGCTTCTAAAGCTATTGAAGCATGGAAAAAGGAAAGAAAAAAACTTGCGTTTTTATTGATTCTGGGACAGCAAACAGAGAATGGCTGCAAATGGCTGTTTTACAGATTAATGGGAGATATGCGGGGGTGTTACTTAAGGATCAGTACTCAATCACTACACTTTCGATATACATTAATAACTTGAACTTCAGGATACAGAGCACAATTTAAAAAGTTTTGAGATGGCGGCAAGTTTGAAAGTATAGTAAACATTAGGGACAATAATGGATTTCAAAAGGACATAAGCTGTGTGGATGATATATTTCAGTGGGAAAAATATGTAAAGACATGCATGCCAAATGGTATAGTTTGAAAGTTGTGCGAGAACAGAGAGAGCTGGGGATATTTATTGCCTGTGTTAAATGCCCAGGCACTTGGGTGAGGTTCCTAGTGGCAAAAGCATCAATGCAATTATGCCCACAAAAGTTAACTTATTTAGTACAGAATTGAAGCAATGTTGGGGAAATTAGCATAATGGAGGAAGAAATAGAGATGTGACTATATTTCAGTTATGAATCTGAGGGTAGCACTCTTCCAAAGAAGGAAAATTATGGGCTTCCCCAATCCCACTTCAGAGACTTTAGAACATAATCACATTTCAAATGCTGGATTGAGGGAGGTTTGCACAATTGGAGTTGCCACCTCTCAGCTGAGATATTAAACCAAGGACCTATATGTCATTATCAGTTTGATGTAAATGATCACATCGCATTATTCTGAAGACTTTGAGTGAAGTCTCCCTCATGCCCTGGTAAACATTTGTCCCTCCACAAATATTATTCAAAGGACTGTCTGTTTATTTATCATATTGCTGTGGGAACTTGTACACAAATTGTCTGCCCTGTTTCCCGTAGTTACTGAATTTCAATAGCTGTAGGGCACTTTGGGATGTATTGAGGTCATTAAAAATAAATGCAAATTCTTTCTTTTATGTGCATTTTCTTTATTCATATGTTCCAGCACATTCATGCATCACTCACCTCCTTTGGAGACAGAATTGAGATATAGTCCAGGTATATTGATTTTGCCATTTCTGTAATAGTAGCTTTGTCATCTTCCTGCTTAAGTTTCTCACAAGCAAGCCAGAAGAGAATGTTTTCATCGCTGTGTTCACTCTGTAAGAATTCCATTAAAATCTTCCTTCCGGTTGGATTCTTCAAGAGCTGTTCAAATGACTGAGACCAAGCAGTGACCTCTTCCTGGCTCAGAATCCCACTGTGAATCAAAAGGGGAGATACCAGCTATTAAGAATGTATTGGTTACAGGGGAAAGTGATGGAAATTGGGACTGATTCTCTCTGGTAAAGAAACTTCCTAGTCTTGTGAAATAAAAGTGGTAACATGATTCAGAAATAATACTCATGGTGGTGAAGAGTTTATTTATCCTGAAATGTGATTCAAATATTGGGAAACTTAAGAATATGAAGGGATATGAAACAGAATACATCAAATGGCCTTTCATTACAACCCTATGAAATGTTAACCTTTACTTCCTTTCACCACAGAAGTCTAGTAAAACTAAGCTCCCCTGCAAAAGAGTAGATGTTATGAAATAAATTATTCAAAGAAGGCATTGAGGCAGACAACATAATTGAATCATAGACACAATTTGAAAGAGGTAAATGATGTTTAAAGTGAAGAATTTTTCGAAAATTAATTAGCAAAACCTGTTTCTGGTGGTTAGTGACTGAAAGGCAAAATGTATTACTGAATGGTTTGTTGGATAATGGCAAGGTGGTGGAAGCAGGGTTCAGAACAGCTTTTAAGAGGGAAATGGATAAGTGTTTGGAAAGAATGTAAAGAGAATGGGGAAAGGGCAGGTGAGTGAGGCTAAGGTCTTTTGGAGGTCCAGCACAGCCATAATGAGCTACATGGCCTCCATCTATGTTACAAAATTCCACGATTTCAGAGGGTTGAGTGACCATGGCAATAGTAGAGGTAAATTTTTAGAAAAATCACGTTACACCATGCAGACTAATGACCTTTTATCTGTTATAAATAGTCATATAAATATTAGTCATTTCATCTTGAATTTGCATACAATATATGGCACAAAAGCATGCCGTTTAGTCCTACAAATCCATGTGGTGTTACTGCTCCACTTGAACCTCCTCCTATCTTTCCTCACCTAAAGCTACCATTGTAACCATTTCTTCCCTTCTCTCTAATATGTCTGTCTAGATTCCCCTTAAATGCACTTATACTATTTTTATAGATATTTTATATTACAGAGTTTGATATTGTTGACAAAAGACATACTTTGAAGTTTTTTTCAGCAGTTTGATACAATTCTTCTACACCATGTGGTAGCGAGTTACATCTTCTTGCAACATGGTTTTAAAAAGAAGTTTCTTCTGAATTCCATACTAGATTACTTACTAGCTATCTTGTATTGACAGCTTCTGGTTATTCAGTTCTCCACAAGCAGAAACAGTATTTATGTTGCCAAAACTTTTCATAATTTTAAACATCTCTATGAGGTCGCTACTCACCTTTTTGAAGGGAAAAGAGACCCAGTCTGACAATCCTTTCCCCCTGTGAATACCCATCCATTTCTGGTATGATCTTTGGAGGTGTTGTCCTCCATAAATGATGTTATCAAAAGCTGAATTCTAGAATTTTTTTCTATAGAATTTCATGACACAGAAACAGGCTATTGGGTGCAACTGATTTTTATTGGTGTTTATGTTCCACATGAGCTAACCTTACAGTATAATTATCTAGTCCTTTCTATCTCATGCATTTATCTAGCTCCCCTTTAAAGGTTTACCCATTGTTTGCTTCAACTACTTATTTTTGTGAGTTCCACTTTCTCAGTTTACTCTGAATTCCATACAGCTTTTGTTTTTGTAATTATCTTATATTTGTGCACGTTTTGGTCTTCTTCACATCTATCCCATGGACTAATTCATAGATTGAAGACCTCTATAAAGTTACCTCTCAGCCTTTGCTTTTCAAGAAAAAAAGAACTCCAATTCATTTTGTCTTTCCTGATAATTTATAACTACTTCAGCCACTTTTAATATAAGTCAAATCACTTGTGCAGGCTTATAAATTATTGCAGTTGTTAAATGTTACCTTTATTTGAAAATGAAGTTAGAGTTTGATATTTTCAAGAGGTCTGCAGTGCCAATAAATAGCTATTAGCATCACCAATGTCCTCTAGAAATCTCTGACCTCTGTATTGTCACAGTGTGATGGTGGGGAGCGCTGTAACTAAGCCTCAATCCAGTTCCAGTTTTATCAACCATTCCCAATAGTTGGAGCTTTGGAATCTTCTGTTAGAGTACAGATGGTTGGGTGATTCACACCTTTGTGATGTACTTTCCTTTCTTCCAGCACATTCTTCAGCCATGGGGATCCTTCTTTATGTCGTTATATTTCCCATGGTATTTCCAACTCCCACCTCTGCCACTGGGTTCTAAACATTGAAAGTTCCTCTAGGCACACCCTGTGTTGCCATATTTGACCCATTACCAACGCCTTTTACCTTGCATTATCATCACCTTTATATTGGAGTATGAGTCAGCCATTCAGCCTCTTGAGACTGTTGTATCTTTCGTCATTTAGTCACTCACACCCTCGAGCCTACCACAGATTTTCCCACTTTTTCTTTTGTTTCCCTACTGCCACTTTAATTTTCCTTGCCTCTAAATGTGCATAAAAGCTATTTTTCTTTATCTTTATTCTTGGGATGTGGATGTCACTGGCTAGGCCAGTATTTATTCCTCATTGCTAATTACCCAGCGACTCTTACAATTTTAATAGATGCACCGTTGAAAGCATCCGATCTGGATACATCACGGCGTGGTATGTCAACTGCTCTTCCCAAGACCCAAATATACTACAGAGTTGTGAACACAGTTGTGAACATCACACAAACCTCATTATGGCTACGCTTAGGTTCAAGGTAGAATTGAAGCTGACATCTGGACTACAGCCTGACTGGAAAATCAATGTGTTAACTCTGTTTCTCTCTCCACAGGTACTGCCTAACTTGTTAGGTGGCCCCAGTATTTTCTGCTTTAATTTCTTATTCCCAGCCCCGGCAGTATTTACAGAGTAGATTAGGGCTGATGAGGTGTGTTGAGCAGGAGATGGAGAAGACTCATGTGGATCATAAATAACAGCATAGACTAGTTAGACCCAATGACCTGTTTCTGTGCTGTACATTTGATGTCATTTCTTCCTTTGTTCCTCTGGTGTTAATCCCTTGTAACCAATTTACCAATCAGTGGGGACAATCTTTTATTAGCTGTCTTCTCATAAATCATCAAAAATATTCCTTAACTTACACCCACCCTCCTGTATATATCAGGTATGTTTCTAACAACTACATCAATTATGTTGACCAGATACCAGTTTGTATTTTACTCAATTAAAAACAGAAAGTGCTGGAGAAACTCAGCAGGTGTGGCAGCATCTGTGGAGAAAGAAACAAAGTTGATGTTTCATATCTGGTGTGATTCAAAAGATTGTGTTCAAATTGAAAAGAGACCACCACCTCAGGGGTGATTTGTTCACCTTTCTTCATGGTTCTGAAGACTTTCCATCTGGGAAATTATAGATGGTGTTTTGCTGCAATCATGTCTATCCTCGTTTCTGACTGTTAGGCTGCAAAGTAATGAGAAATGTTATTTTGTTGAGCATAATGGCAACCTGATACATGGCCACAATTCTCACCCTCACCTCTGTCCAAGTTGTATCTGTATTCAACAACAACTTGCAGTTATATAGTGCCTTCAAACTAGTGAAACATCACTCTAGGGTTTGTGCAGGAGCACTCGCAGGTACAAATTGGTGCTTAGATTATGTGTTTGTTCTCACCAGCAGGATTTAGAAGCTGTCTTCCACATAAGGGTAGATGACCAAAAGAAAAGTTGGTCAAAAATGTAGGTTTTAAGGAGCATCCCAAAGAAGAGGAGGAGGCAGAGAGGTTTACAGACAGAATTGCACAGCTTAAAGTCTAGCTTGTTAATATGAAGATATTATGTGCTTGTTAATGATGGAGTAAAGAAAATTTGGTCAAGCTGTAGGAATAGAGAGATCTTTTGAATTATAGCCTTGTTTGTTTTGGGTTCTTTCTTCTGCCATATTCAATTGGCTTTGATCTTCAAAACAGCTGATGAAGGGGGCTACCACTTTCCAGATAAAGTACCTTAAAGAACTGATTAAAAAATAACTCCTCCACTTTCCTCTGTCCCTGACTTATGCAAGGCTGAATCTTATCAGATTTTGGTTGTCACTTTTGTCGAGTTTCATGGAGGGCTTCTTCTTGTGAGGCCTAATGAGGTTCTCATGCTTTCATCCCATGCATACCTCATTATCTCGGTACCACACAGCTATGGCACCTCACTCATTTGATGCCTGATTCTCCCACTTTCCATAGGCAGAAGTATCCTTCACTGCCAGGATATCCAAGGATCCCCGGTGCTGATGCTACATTTGAAAGATCATTGTATACCCGATCATGCACTGACAGTCTGGAGCTGCCCTGCACAGTTTGAGGTCTTTGACCAGATGTAGCAGACAAGGGGAAATTGACGTGCTGCTTTGTGGACAGAGACCTGACGTTCCTGGTGAATGCTTGGTGCAGAGGAGAGCTGTCCTCTTCCCCCAGGATCAGCAAGAGAGACCCACGACACCAGATTCTATTTGCCCACTCTGAGGTTGCCACCTGGGTCTGTGCAGTTTCAAACATCTTGAGGAACACCCAGAGTAGTCTGTCACTCTCACTGTTGGATGTAACAACTTTCCTCGCTTGCTCTCATCCACCCAATCCCCCCAGACTGCTAACTCTGCATGGTTTCTGCATTACCTACTCACTCGCTTGGGACACTTCACCAACTTTCCCCACCAGCACCAGCACCAGCACCAGCACCAGCACCAGCAAACAGCCAGACCAGCTCCTTTCATCTCATTCAATTCCTCCCATTGTCTGAAACCAGGGGAAAGTTTCGGACAAATTAGGGTGGAAAGAACCAAGATTCCTCTCCTCACCCCTCATGAGGAGTGGATCCTTACTATGACCACTCTGAGTAACCATGCCCAAGCCCAAGCCCCTGGTCTGATGTTGGAGGCTGCCTTTCACCTACTGTACCAGGATCCCCTCTTTAGACATGACAGAACTATTCACTATAGACTTTGAGACATGGCCATTGGGTTGAAGCACATGCAGTATGTTTGCTTTGAACTCAGCTGGTACATGATGCAAATATGAGAATGACATAGCGCGGTGCTGTACAGCAACAAATCCAATCCTCATGGTCATGACTGCTACCAAATATAAAAAAGAAGCTTGCACTGAAAGGCAAGGCAGAAGTATTGTGAGCCTCTTAGCTCTGGCTGAGAGGGCAAAGCACAAAACAGCAACACAAGCCAGGGATTCTGTGAGCATCGAAGTAGGCACAGAGTGAATGATAGTGCCAAGAGAGTGAGTATGCAGCCCTGAGATGCTTCCAGTTACAAACCAGGAGATGGTTGCCTGTCCCTGCATGGAAAATATCCTTGCAGCAGCATTCCAATGAATGTTGCCAATGTGATCCAAAGTGCAGTGTTGAAATGCAGAAGTGTACTGTACGTGGATTGGAGAGGAGCCCCGATGACACAGCAAGGCTGGTACATGCTGACTGCTAATCTCTGTGGATTGGGGTGGCTACTACCCAGAGATGTTGGTACTGGGTGTCCAAGATCAAGATCCAGAGGACCAAGTATTAAGCTGGAGTTGCCAGGTATCTGCTCTGACTTCCATGTTGGGAATTCTTGGCATCTAGTTTCTATCTGGCAATGGAGAACAGAAAACTACACAATATCAAGGCAAGCTTAGGTAGTTATGTTGGTGATAATGAACGATAATTCAAGCAAAAAAGCATCTCACTGCTCACCAGTGAGAAACATATTTGGCCGACCAACACTTGTTTGAAATTGGGACTTTTTGCTCTCAACAATGGGAATGTCCTTAGCGAACATCTCATCTGATGTTCCCAACTTTCTTGCCATGGCCCATGCTGTTCAGGGGCTGGGAACACCCACCTGTAGACATCAACATTTCCTCGTGCAGTATTTTCTAAAAGTGTGTTTGCAAACTGTGACTAGGTGCATTATCAAATAAGCACAACAATTTTTTTTAACATAATTAGTCACAGTGGGTATGATTCCAACATCATACAGATATCATTTCCACTGAGTCTATGTTACCCTGAATCAAGGGAATTGTCACTTGTGAGTATAGTTAGTTATTGCCATACAGCTACCTCTCTGTATTGGGGGAGATTAGAGGAATCACATTTAAATCCACTCCTATGTGGACCTGATATTGACATGTTTATAGTTTCCAAGAGGGCTTACTAGCCAATTACATGAACAGGAGCTGATTTCCTCCCATCCCAGGAGTGCTGATGACAGGTAACCTAACTGCTACCTTAGCTACATTCAATACCTCAGTGTAGACCAGCAATCAAATCTGGGACCTTCTGTTGCAAATGGTTTGATATGTTTGTTCACTAGGCCATGAGGGAGCCACCCAAAGGAAGAAAACTTACATTTATATAGCACCTTTCACAACCACATGAACCACTCAAACTGCTTCATAGGCAATAAAGCATGTTTGTGAAATGTAGTCGCTGCTGTCATTTAGGGAATGCAGCACACTATTTGCACATATTAGACTCCCAGAAAGCAAGAGAGACATCAGATAATCTGCTTTAGGTGTAGATTGAGGGATAATTATTGAGGATGCTAGGGACACATCCCATGCTCATCTTCGAAATAAGACATGAGATCTTTTTCATCCACCTGAGAGGGCAGATGGGTATAGTGCTTGGTGAAATGGTTTTCCTCTGACACTATAGCACTTCCTCCAGTATTGTCAGAGGGAGTGCCAGCTGAGAATTTGTGATTAGGTCTCTGGAGTGGGATCTATTGACTTTTTAACCATCTGGCGCATGTAGTTCACCTCCTGAGCAATTGCAATAATGTCTTTGTGTTACAGTTTCAGATCTGTACCAGGAACAGCAACAGCACCAGCAGAAACAGCAAGTGTTAGGACGTCTTCTGCACAAGCGAGCTGAGCTGGAATCATTGCTCGCCTGCGATATCTGCCTTCTCAGCTGTGTTCGGTGAGAAGCCATTGCCTGGAAATGACAAGACAAAAGAGATGTTGAGATAACAAGGTATGGAGCTGGATGAACACAGCTGGCCAAGCAGCATCAGAGGAGCAGGAAAGCTGACGTTTCGGGTCTGGACCCTTGCTGCCTTGTAGGGTGGTGGATACAGCAGTAAAACTACCTTTAGTACCAAAGTAGTGATAATAACTCAACTATCTCAGGTCTAATGTGCACTAGATATATAAACAGTTCTGATGAAACCTCATTGACTTGAAGATTTGTCTCTGTTTTCCTTGCCACAGATGTTATTTGACTTGCTGAGTGTTCCCAATCATTTTCTTCACATTGATCAATTCTACTGTTTTCTTCATGAATTTGTATAAGGACTGATATTGTTTTTTTTCAGTCCCAGCCCTGATTGAAGCTATTGGCCCTTCCTACAATAGGATTGAATGGGAACTGTTTTTCTTAAATCATTCATAAGATGTGAGCATTTCTAGTTAGGCCAGCATTGAATGCCCATCCCTAATTGTCTAGAGGATAATAAAGAGTCAATCACTTTGTTGTGGGTTTGGAGTCACATGTAGATCAGGTAAAGAGAGCAGATTTCCCCTCCTGAAGGATATAAATAAACAAGATGGGTCTTTACAGCAATCCACAATGGTTGTTATTAGATTAGATTTTCATTTCACAGTCTGCCATGAAGGGCTTTGAGCCCATGTCCCACAACATTGGCCTAAGTTTCTGGATTACAATTCCAATAACATTACCACTATACCCCTGCCTCACCTTGAATACTTCTCCCCAGTGACTACCTTGCATGCACAGCAAGTGTTGGCAGTCTATTCAACTGCAACAGGTAGTGTGGAGGGTCATCACAGCAGAGATTTGGGGAACATTCACTATTACACATGTTCTAGTGGGAAGGAAAGAACAGAATTTCAGAACTAACCTCTGTTTCTGAGGTTAATTCACTTAGCAAATAACTTAGGATCCTCCTATGTTTCATCATCATGTTAGGATGAGTATTTCTTCACTGGATCATTGTTAGACATTATTAGTAATGACGTTGAGGGAGGAAATCGGCTTTCTTTAACAGATCTGGCCTACGTGTGACTCCAGACGCAAAACAACATGTTTGGCTCTTAAATATCCTCTGACATGGTCTAGCAAACCATTCCATTGTTTCAGAGTGTCACAGAAAAAGGCACTTGCGGGTGTAAATACACCACATGGACTGCAGCAGATCAAGTAGTTAGCGTACCTCATCTTCTCACGGACAATTAGTGATGGGCATTAAATACTGGTCTTGCCTGCAATGCTCACACCTGAAGAATGAATAACCAGTAAAGCAAAACAGAGGTGTTGTCAATGTGATGGATTTATATGGCATTGTCCTACTTGATGACTCCTGGTGCAATCTCCCTCAACTTTTCTTTGGAGTGTGTTCAGGGCTTGACATTTGATTTACACCTAACACACTTAAAGACAGAGGAAAGCCCAGAGCAACTTCACATTGACACTAAACTAATAATCGAATGCACTATTAGTGGTCATTTTTTTCCGGGAATATGGAATCCTGCATCAGAGAACCTTTAAAAAAAAAATCAATCTATAGATACACACATCATCATAAGGGTTTCAAAAGGGCAGGTGGAGAAGCTTCTATTGACAGAAGGTCAGTGATCTGAACACATAGATTTAATAGGAAAAAGAACCTGAGGCTGGATGGGAAAAATGTTTTTATGCCACGAGATACTATGATCTATAATCACTGCCTGAAAGTGTGGATAGAGGTAGATTCAATAATAACTTTTCAAAGTGAGTTGCGTAAGTACTTGACAGTAACATTTCATGGTTATGGGCAAAGAAAAGGGGTGTGAGCCAGATTGGGTAGCTCTTTTAAAGCAACAAGGTGCAAGATGACTTCCTTCCTTGCCTTATGATCCTAGTCATGAAAAAAGAATAAAATAAAGGCTTCTAATATTTTAAAAATGCGTTTTCAGGACTTAGGCATATTGCCCACCCCAACCAGAAGGTGGTGATGAGACTTTTTCCTGCAGTCCAGATGGTGCGGGTACACCTCACAATGCTGTTAAGGAGGGATTCCGTGACAGTGAAGGAACAGCAATGTATTTTCATGGCAGGACGATATGACTTGGAGAGGACCTTGGAGATGATGGTGTTCTCATGTGCCTGCAGACTTTACCTTTTGGGTGTCGGAGGTCACAGGTTTGGGTGACAAGTTACTGCAGGAAATCTACTGTATTGAGATTAAAAAACACAGCACTAAGTTTCAAACAGTGCTGGCTAAGCAGACAATGAAATATTTTGTTAAATTAAACATTGAAAGCAATCAAATTGGTTTGAGAGAGATACTTTACAGTGAATACAACAACAACTTTGTGGTTTTGAACTTCCATAGCATTGGTGCCTTCAGCCATCTAAATGCTACTTTCTGGAAAACAATCTCTAAACAGCAGCAAAACTTATTAGCACCTCCACTGCAGTAAAACATTTCAAGGTGCTCTAAAGGAGCAGACAAAATTTAGCTTTGGGTTATATAAGGAGACCTGGTGAAAAGTTTGGCCAAAGAGGTTATTTTCAATCACCTTAAGGAAAGAATGAGAGAGATGTAGAGAGTAATAAAGACGTTTTGGAAGACAATTGCGGATCTTAGGGTTTATGTGGCTGAAGACACAGCCACCAATGGTAGGGTGCTGAAGTCAGGTTGGTGTAGGAGGCCAGCATTAGAGGGCAGCAGAAAGTCTGGAGGCCTTGTTTAGCTGAAGGACGGAAGGAAACACTCAAAGGACGGACATAAAAAGCAGCAAATTCCCCTTTCTCAGAGCTGGCAGTTGTCTGAATCTCCTTTTGTCTGTGCACAGGATAAGGGGCTGCATAGCATCAGGGGCTTGATGTCTGATTACTATTGTTAGAGAGTAAGATGTTAGAGCCTGCACAACAAGGAAAGCTTCTCACCAATTTCAAGCTGAAACACTCCTTCAATCAGAATCCATATTCAGGTCTGAGGCTATTTGGTTTTAGAAAAGTAGTCGATTTGTTCCCATATTAATGTCTACAGCAGTCTTGAACGAGATGTCTGAACTGTCAAGTAGCTCACAGTTTTCACTTTTCCTTGCTACGTCCAGCTTGATGTTTTGTGGAACTGTTCGTTACATATTCATAAATGTTTACCCAACAGGAAATATTACAGTGCAGTATTGTTTAACCAACTACTGGAAAGATATTGCACAAGCCATGCACAAAATTTGCAATGACTTTCCCATGAGAAACCTTACTTCATTGGGCACTGGAAACAATTTTTGACAAGTTCTGAACGCTTGTTTAAAATCTGCTATTTATTTTCCAAATTTGTGGAGAATTGCAGGAATAGCAAGAACAACAACTTGCATTTGCATAGCCCCTTCAATTAAGCAAGAGTCAAATACACACAGTTTGAGACAGATGACCGAAGTTTAGTGAAAACCTACAGTATAAAGGCGTGTCATATAGGAGGAAAGAGGGATGGAAAGGTGAAGTGGTTTGGGAAACAATTTCAGATAGGGCCCAGGTGGTTGAAGGCATGCCTGCCAAATGTGTATCAATGTAAAACAAAGATGCATATGGGGCCAGAAGTGGAATTACTCAGCAATCTCAATGGACTGCTGGTCTGGAGATTCTAGATAGAGGGAAGGAGCAAGTTTATGGAAGGTTTGAAATTTAAGATTGTGATTTTTAAAATCTAGTTTTGTGTTGAACCAGAACCCAGTGTAGTTCAGCAAGCAATGAAAGCTGGGTGAATAAGAATTTGTTCATGTGAGGATATGGACAACAGAGTTTTCCATGAGCTTAGGTTAATATGGATAACAGGTAAAAGGCCAATGGGGGATACATCAGAATTGTTGAGTTAAGTGTTAAAAAAGGTACAGATGAAGCTTTTAACAGTTGAGGCAGGAATACGGTCAAGTATGTGGTCATGGATAGGGTAAATAGACAAGGTATTTTCCCTGGGGTGGGGAAGTCCAAGGCTAGACAGCATAGGTTTAAGGTGAGGGGGGAAAGATTTAAAAGGAACCTAAGGGGCAAACTTTTTCATGCAGAGGATAGTATGTGTATGGAATGAGCTGCCAGAGGAAGTGTTGGAGGCTGGTCCAAGTACAATATTTAAAAGGCATCTGGAAGGGTAATATGAATAGGAAGAGTTTAGAGGGATATGGGCCAAATGCTGGCAAATGGGACTAGATTTACATTAGATATTTGGTAGGCATGGACGAGTTGGACCAAAGGGTCTGTTTCCTTGCTTTGCATCTCGACAACTCTATCACTCTATGCCACGGCACACACTTGGTTTAAAGTCTCATTGGAAAGACAGCTCCTCTGACAGCCCAGGTCTCCTTCAGTACTGCAGTTAGAGAATCAATCTCATTTAGGAACTGTCGCCTGTGAAGTGAAATCGGAATGCACAATCTTCTGTTCGTAACCAAGAATATCATGGACTTAAATGACATTTAGAGAATACACAACATACTGCAGCCCTGAACGGAAACCCTGAAAGTAGAATCAACTCACCATAGAGAGCAAAAAAATTCTTGAGATGGACCTAAATATAATCAGTGAAATCGTCCTCAGAACATATTCCAACGAATTAATTATCATTGGCCCTGTATCATGCATTGAACAGGTATCGAGACATCAATATATTTTCTGCTGCATATCGTAGTTTTTATTTAAAGCAAACTATTTAAATAACTGCACTGCTCAGCTGTTGGAAACGTGCGTAGGTTTGCTGCCGTTTAAAGAATATGTTATTCAATTCTGCCGGGCGATCTTCCTCGCATATCGGTGAGAAACACCAAAGCAGACAATTGCGAAGGGAAAGGGAATTGGTCTTTCACACCAATGTCACTAAACAAATTCGCCAGAGATTCTGAGGGCAAAAAAATAACATGCCTAGAAATGTCACAATGGATTAAAGAGGATGTTCAAACACTGGCTCATTGCACAATGATTAGTTGGCATTACTTACAGACGCTAAATCATATTTCGACTTCGCGGGGATTTTCCCTCCGTCCTATTCGAAATCCATCCTGCTCTTTTTCCTCCTTTTTCAAAATTTTTGATTGAAGATGTCAGTTTCAGCAGGAGAGACGCATGCGTGGACATTCCCAGCTCTCCTTAGCCAATGCGAATATTTCCCCCACTTTATTTTTATTTTGTCCGCCCACTTCCTAGACAATAATCAGAAGGTGTGCGGGCAATGCATTTGGAGAGAGTGATGATTCGGAATTTCTTTTTTTGAAAGACCTGTTGTGAACAGAATCACGTTTGGGTTTTGAAGACGTGCATTGCAATAATTTGCCTTTCGGCTGTAGTCAGGTGTAACTTTCAAACAAGGGACGGTTCACCGGACCCGAAACATTAACTCTGTTTTCTCCTTCACACATGCTGCCACACTTGCTGAGCTTCTCCAGCAACTTTGTTTTTGTTCCTGATTTACAGCATCCGCAGTTCTTTCGGTTTTTATTTCGAAGGTTCACCTACTGATACTTTATACCTCACTATATTAACGTTAACCTATTTGCAATAAAATCGGGAGGATAGATTTCATGAAATACGCGCTTCGGACTGCTTTGATGGAGGACTTGCTTTGTTTAGCCTTTATTCAACATATATCCATCCTTCGGGCCATAACTTTGGAAAACGCACATCTCTCGAAGGCTTCACCCACCCTGAGCAAGAACACCCCCCAAACCAACACCTAACCACAGTCTCGAATTCAACCTTTTCCCCAGAAACTGTCTGCTCTTCTAAATCCGTCCATCTGTCCATCACCTCCCTTAGTTTGACCCAGAGTTGGTGCTGTAGCCTTCAGCTCCCTGGGCCGTATGGTCCTTTGTTCCTTCCTTAAATGCCTCTACCTTGCCACCCCCTGCACCCACCTGTCCCGTATAAAAACACAACTAAATAAAAACTGAAAGAACTGCGGATGCTGGAAATCAGAAAGAAAAACAGAAGTTGCTGAAAAAAAAAACTCAGCAGGTCTGGCAGCATCTGTGGAGAGAAATCAAAGTTAATGTTTTGGGTCCAGTGACCCTTCCTCAGAATTGATGGTAGCTAGGAAAAAAGTTATTTTTTATGCAGAAGATAGGGTGGGGGTGTGGGTCAGGAGTAAGGAGTAAAAGGTAGGCAGAGATGGAGCCCAAAGAGAGAAAAACTGTTGGACAGACAAAAGAGTGGATAACGGTCAGCTAACAATGGTTAGAGACAAAACAAACTGCAGATGCTGGAATCCAAGGTAGACAAACAGGAGGCTGGAAGAACACAGCAAGCCAGGCAGCATCTGGAAGAAAGGAGCAGTCAATGTTTCGGGTATAACCCTTCTTCAGGACTATTTGTCAAGAAACTAACAATGGGCTGTGTGTACTAGCAGACCATGTGATAACATCCACTGTACCCGGTAACTGCTTTCCGGAGGGACCACTCTCTCCGTGCCTCCCTTGTCCGCTCCACACTCCCCTCCAGCCCCACCACACCCGGCACTTTTCCCTGCAACCGCAGGAAGTGCTACACCTGCCCCCATACCTCCTCCCTCACCCCCATCCCAGGCCCCAAGAAGACTTTCCACATCAAGCAGATGTTCACCTGCACATCTGCCAATGTGGTATACTGCATCCGCTGTACCCGGTGTGGCTTCCTCTACATCGGGGAAACCAAGCGGAGGCTCGGGGACCGCTTTGCAGAACACCTACGCTCGGTTTGCAATAAACAACTGCACCTCCCAGTCGCGAACCATTTCAACTCCCCCTCCCATTCCTCAGACGACATGTCCATCCTGGGCCTCCTGCAGTGCCACAACGATGCCACCCGAAGGTTGCAGGAACAGCAACTCATATTCCGCTTGGGAACCCTGCAGCTCAATGGTATCAATGTGGATTTCACAAGCTTCAAAATCTCCCCTCCCCCTACCACATCCCAAAACCAGTTCAGCTCGTCCCCGCCTCCCTAACCTGTTCTTCCTCCCACCTATCCCCTCCTCCCACCTCAAGCTGCACCCCCATCTCCTACCGACTAACCTCATCCCGCCCCCTTGACCTGTCCGTCCTCCCTGGACTGACCTATCCCCTCCTCAACTCCCCAACTCCCCAACTCCCCACCTACACTCACCTTTACTGGCTCCATTCCCGCCTCTTCGACCTGTTTGTTTCCTCTCCACCTATCCTCTCCTCTATCCATCTTTTATCCACCTCCCACTCTCTCCCTATTTATTTCAGAACCCCCTTCCCCTCCCCTCCCCTCCCCTCCCCTCCCCCTTTTCTGATGAAGGGTCTAGGCCCGAAACGTCAGCCTTTCTGCTCCTATGATACTGCTTGGCCTGCTGTGTTCATCCAGCCCTGCACCTTGTTGTCTCATGTGATAACAAGGCCTGGTGAGTGGGGATTGGGGTAAGGACATGGGGGAATAAAACATAGCTCTTTGGCTCTGATTTTGCTCCCCCCTTTTAGTTTTTATTGGCTCATTCAACTGGACTGTGGGTTGTGTGGGAACATTTTTATACGTTAGAGGTACTATGTAAAGCTAAGTTGTTATTTTTAATTATAATTTATTATATTTCTGTAACTTAACTCTGATAAACTAATCTATGTTAATATTCTCCTTCAGAAAAAGAAATACTTTTGAAGTGTCATCACTGTTATATTGACCAATGCAGGAGCTAATTAAAACCTAGCAAGGTGTCTACTAATAGCAATGAGATAAATGGTGCGAATCTGTTCTTTTATTCTGGTGATGTGAGAGGACGTTCTATTCTTTACATTAACACATTCACGAAAGCTGCAGTTTCTATTTATTGAAAAGTCCTACTTTTAAAGACCATTGTTTGATGAAAGATGATTTGAATGTTTATTTCTCATAACTTTTAAGACAACGCATGGTCAGAAATGTAGTATCAACAGCATGGATTCAGACAGAAGTAATGCTGTTCGACATGACAATGCATTATGATTTATACACGTGGGGTTATTCTATACAAGATAGCATATTGTTTTGATTTGATTTATTGTTGTCACATGTACCTCAGTGCAGTGAAAATTTTTAGTTTGCATGCAGTACAGGTCATAATAACATACAAGGACTTGCAGATCAGAAGGTGATTGAACAGA